TCAAAAAAAAAAAAAATCACATTGATTCCTCAATATAGTCCTTTTTTTTCCCCTTTCGAAAGCATATTATTCTTTTCCCTTTTTTCCCTAAAAAGATCAATAATACTACTCATTTACTTATTTTTGCATGACTCAAATTCGTGATCTCACAGTTATAAATAAAACGTAGTCCTTTTTTTTTTCCCTTTCGAAAGCATATTATTTTTTTCCCTTTTTTCCCTAAAAAGATCAATAATACTACTCATTTACTTATTATTTCATGACTCAAATCCGTGATCTCACAGTTATAAATAAAACGTCTTACTTATCGTCGTGATCAAGCAGACTATATTGATTCCTAAGTACAGTTCTGATTTTTTTTAAAAAAAATTTATTCCCACATTAATCAATATATGTGGTGACAAGCTTGCAATGAATGAAGGTGATATGAATCATGAAGGAATTGCTTGTATTATGCGACAGTGATAAAAAGAAATTGACCGTTGTTCCCTCCCCGTCATGGTTAGGTACTCAGGTCTTCAAAGTTCAAACGATTAACTGTGAAAAAGATTATTACTTATAAACGACCGTGGTTGCTACGGAACCCATGTGAAAGTGGTTCCCACTTCATTCTAATGAGTCAAAGAGTGGGCCCCCCTTTCTTTCCACCCGCTACAATAGTTTTTGGGCGCGTGGTCTCCATGATTGCCGTATTAAAATGAAATTAAGTTTTCATTGTTATCATTATTGAAATTCAAGAACATGTTAATAATGCATCTTTTTTTTTTTGGAAATATTTATATTGATTTGTTAGTTGGCGCACAATAATTTTGCTTCATTTTGGATTGAGGAATATTTGGGAAAACAAAGATTGTTGAAAATTTAAAATGAGAAAATGTGTTTAAAATTTTCCAAAAAATAAATTTTTTCAAAAAAGGTGTTTAGTAAGTACCATTTTTGTGGATTCAAAGATTAATTGCACGGCGTTCATTTATTGTACTTTGAGCTTCCGAGTTTGTACAAAATTCTCTGCTTTCCTGCCACATTGCAGCAAAGGGGAGGTGCCCAATTTGCCAAGAGTGGAATCTGAAATTCCGCCCAAATTTGTGGAAGGAAATGAAAGAATACTAGGCAAGACGGCAGACGTCAATTGTTTTTTGTTTTTCCACTGTTCAATTCGCAAGGATTTTGGATTATATTCCTGTTTGCTTAGGTTGTGTTTGGATTGCATTTTTCATGATTTTTCATGGAAAAAATACTGTAGCGATGTGATGTATGTGAGGGAAAAAGATAATAGGGAAATGTGATCACGGAAAATAACGTAATTTTCTGACGAAAAGTAGCAATCCAAACAAGGCCTCCCTCCACCCGTCTGTTGAAAGCGTTATGCTTTTAATTTTAGGATATTTCAGAATATTTTTTATATCTTACCAAAATTCAATTTTTGCAGGCATGTTATGAATCAAACGATGATAGTGTATATAGTGTCAGTGCATATAAGATTTACTCGAATAAAAATTACTTTTTATCTCTTTTTCTAATATTGTCCTAAACTTTTTATCTATATTGTGCACTAAATTCAAATTTGATATTTAAAATTTTAAGAATAATTTTGAAAATAAATTCACTAACAATAATACTATCAAGCCATTATTTTTATAAATTTGGTATCTCGGAATGTAACGGATAATTTGAGACAGAGAGAACTAACTTAGATTAGATGAGCCTTCACATTTTACTTTAATGTAATGTTATGATTGTTGGAACTTAGAAATATGCTCACTTTTAACTTCTGGTGATGAAGAACACCCAAGATTCTGTCATATCTCTTGGAATTTGCAAAAGATAAAATGTGAATAGAACTTAAACATTTTAATTAGAAATAAAATTAGTATTAATATGTATTAATGCATGTACTTTTTTTTTTTTTTTGAATAGATCATGTATAATTATCTTTGTGGCACTAATGATGGTCCCTTGGAAGGGGTTTTAAACCGTGAGCTTTGGGGTGATGTGATTTTTGGGTATAATATTAACACAGAAAAGTATTTTTAAGTTAATGCAATTTAATGGGCATTTTTTAAGTGATTTTTGGTCTTAATCCTATAATTAAAGCGTGACTAAGATGTGTTTTATCCCATCAAATCCTATCATTAACCAACTTACCATAACATGTGTTGACTATCAAATCCAAATCCAATCTTTTTTTTAATTTAATAAAATGTAAAAATTTTATGATATATAAGACCACATTATACTATGGTAAATCTCTCCTACCAAAACAAAAATATATATATATATATATTATGGTAAAACTCTAACATTCTTTAGTGAAAACTTACGAATAATAATTTTAATAATAATTTTCTTTTCTTTCTTGATGAGTTTAGAATTTGATCAATATACAATCCCCGACTTCAATATTAACATTGGCGCGGAGTATTCAATAAAAGTAAGCATGTCAAGCTATCCTTTTTTTTTTTGAAAGAAAATATTCAATCGACACAAAATACCTCCAAAATATTTTATAATTTTCTTTGATGGCTTTCAAAAATCTAAAAGAGAATATTGGCAAGCATTATTAATATAACTGCTTAAGAATATTAATTTTTGGCCAATGTTAAACGTATTTCACTTTTACTAATATTATTTGTAATATAGTTTTTATTTATTAGACCATATGATAAAAAAGAATTATTAAAAAAGTGAGGTGCAATTAACATTTATTAGTTAGTGGAAAGGTCTCATTTATTATTAACATTTATCAAAGATTTTCCGTAGTCAAATTTTCAATACACGGAATTTGTTAGTGGAAAGGTCTCATTCTTTTATGCAAATTTATTATGAGGACGGCGGCGTAATTTGCATATTTGGTGGGTCGCCGGTGTCTGCGGTCTCCACCGACGGTCAGGTCATGCAAGCAGATGAAAGGAGGGTAGAATGGGAAATATGGAAGGCCAACAGCAGCTCACAGCTGGAGACTGCGGTATGGGAGACTGGGACTGGGACGGGTAGGCATCGGACAGGCGTCTCCTCAACAATTCAACCCATGAAGACTATTCGGCCACACATTTTCCCACGCGTCCCTTCCTAGCAAGCCTATCTATTTGCTTTTGCACTGCGGTCCCTGATCCTCCTCCTTATTACTCTCTCGCACTTCACTCTTTATTATTCTATATTTGTCTGCTATTATAGTTCTTGTTATTACTAATTAAAGTCTCATAGTTTTTGGTACGAGTTAAAAGAATTTTGGATCCTTTAATTTCTTAATAAAGAAAACATTTTCTTTTTTTTTAGGTAAAAAAAACTTCTAATATGAGTAAGGATGCATTTGATAAAATTGAAATTTGAAAACTAAATTATGAATTCGTTAAGTTATTAAATTGTCAAGTATTAAATCTAATACATTTGAGTGCACGTTACATTCAGTGATAAGTGAATAGTTTATCATTTAATTTTGAGAGCAAGTTTTGCCTAGAAATTTTAGTGTCATTTAATTAATTCAGATGTTCAATTTTTTTTTATCAAATAGTTTAAATATGTTAAAATCTGAATCTATTAAAATTAAATGCCGAATTGAATTATCAAACAGGATCTAAATATCCTAACAACAATTCGCTATATGCATAAGACTGGCTTCCAACATAAGTGCATATGCTGAAAACAAGTCTAAATAGATTACCACGAGTATAATAGAAGGATGCATCAGGGTTTAAGCCATGCTAGAGCAGATGTTTCAATTATTTTCTCATGAAAAAAGGAATGACATTGTTCGATGTATATATTAATGGAGCCTAGCTCATTTATAGCATTAACTTTACAATTTTTGTTTGATTAGATAGAAAAAGAGTATTTGAGTCTATTTGATTCATACGACGCTAATGTAATTATGATCGAATCACGAGCTATGTAGCTAGTAATTTAGGTTCACTTTAATTGTGATTTTGATAACTTTTGACTTAAGAAAAAAGAAATATTTCTTAGCTATAAAAGAAAAATTTACTTTTTTTTTTTTACAAGCGAAAGGTTTTTAATCTAAAATTTTCGACATACAACCCCCCTTTCCACCGTATCACCCAACCCTCTCTTCCCCTCCTTGCTACTATTTTTTACGTATTTCATGCACTCCAAAAAAGTAAAGCACAAAGTGCTTCTGAGTCGTTGCTCGTAGTAACCTTATTCTTATTAGATATGAATGGCATTTTTTCAATAGAGACATCTAACTACCAAAATCATGTAATAAAAAGCTTTTTGATTTTATGCGTTTCAAAATTGAATAGCTTGATATACATACACGTAATAAAAAAGAACAGAAAATTTACACAAAATGGAGCTAAAATGAATGCAACATGCATATGAACATCAATAGCCTTTTAAAAATTTTAACTTGGTTTTCATCGATTATCATTGGCATGAAGTTTACAAACGTTTTTCATTTAAGTTCAGCTAATCGAGGAGAAAAAAATATTTCTCAAGTAATTTTCACAAACTTGGCTCTACATTTTTTTTTTGTTTTGAAAACAATCAAATTACAACTAGTTTTGTGGCACACACTTTTCATATCTTTTGGAATTGGAGATCTATTCAATGATACAATTTTGCTTCTAAGTTACCTTACATCTATCTACACCAATTCTTTAAAAATCCATGGGTGGCAATGAAAAGCTAGAAAGAAACATAATTGCAAAGACAACCATACACATGATTAAAAAAAAAATCAAAGAAGTAGATGCCAAACATCTTATACCAACCAGTCCAAATTATATGCCTAGACTATAGGGACCACAAAACAAAAATTAAACTAGCAATTATATAAAACTAAAAACAAAAGCACAGCCTTCAATTAATCATAGAGGAGACCACACACAACCTTTTCCCATCCCCAGCAAAAGCAAAACCTTTGTCCAATTTATTTATTCAATTTAATTTTTCTCATTTCTTAGTCCCTTCCTTTATGAAAAATTACAACACAGCAACAGCACAGCATGGACAATCAATGAAACTCTTCATATCCCCACTTCCCTTTCCTACACACTTCATCATACCTTGCACCTTAACTCATTCACTCACCCCATCCCTACCATAATGCCATACCTCTCCAGATTCCCTATGCAAAATACACAAAGCTGATTGCCCAGCACTTGCAAGCACAAAACTGAGAGAGAGTCAAAAAAGACAGCAGATTACAGAAGAGAGATAGAGAAAGGAGAGAAGAATTTTGTTGTCTTCTCAACTTCCTTCCCTCACCCCAGTGTGTGTTCTGTGTGTGTTTGTGTGCAAGGCCCTTAAAAGGCTCAAACACACAAGAACATACAAGAAGCAAAAAGGGTAAAAAAAAAACACACACACACACACAGTGGCACACACTGACATAATACTGCATTTTCTTCTTTCTTATCCATCCATCAATCTAGAAAGAAAGTATTAGTGTGGAGTCTTGGACTCCTCAGCCCCAGACTGACCAATACTACTGCTACAACAAGTTGAGGAAAAAAAGAAAATGAGCACTGAGAAAGAGAAGGAGAAAGAGAGGAAAATGTTTGTTGGGGTGGTTTGGAATTGTGCTGCTGAGCTCAAATATCTCCTCACTGCTCTTCTCTTCCTTTGCTCTTTGGTCACCATTCTTCAGTTCCTTCCTACTCGTTTCTCCCTCTCGGCTTCAGATCTCCGACCTTGTCTCTCCTCTCCCACCGCTCCCACCATCGTCACAGCCACCGCCACCGCCACCACCGCTACTGTTTCTTTATCAGAAGACAGGAATAATACTACCAACGCCACGACCACCGCTACTGCCCCTGCTGCGGCAGATGCGCCCACAGATGTCATACTACTCCGGCAACCAGCACCTCCAGCGATGGAGAAAGACCAAGTTCTTGAAAATGGGATTATCAAGAGAGCTTTTAACCCGTTCGGCTCTGCTGCATACAACTTCATTCTCATGTCGGCGTACAGAGGCGGCCCCAACACTTTTGCCGTCATGGGTTTGGCGTCGAAGCCTCTCCATGTTTTCGGCAAGCCTTCATATCGATGCCAGTGGGTTCCATTTGGCGGCAGTGGAGCCGAGGAAAATGTTGAGAATCAAGAACCCATTGTCACTGACGGCCAGAAAATCCTTACTGATTGGGGATACGGCCGGGTTTACACGGTTGTCGTAGTGAATTGCACCTTTTCAGCTCCGGTTATTGGTGGTGGTAGCGGGGGTGGAAAGCTGCTCCTCCACGCAGCCACCAACGGCGGTGGGGATACCAATTTTAATCTGACAGATACTATAGAGGCATTAACTGAATCAGGTGAAGATTTGAAGAATTTCAACCAAGTCTACAGTGCAAAGCCCAAGTATGACTATTTGTATTGTGGGTCATCTTTATATGGGAATTTGAGTCCGCAGAGAGTGAGGGAGTGGTTAGCTTACCATATCAGGCTATTTGGTGGGAAATCCCATTTTGTTATGCATGATGCAGGGGGCGTTCATCCAGGGGTGATGGAAGTATTGAGGCCTTGGATGGAAAAGGGATACGTGACTTTGCATGATATCAGGGAACAAGAGAGATTTGATGGCTACTATCATAATCAGTTTTTAGTTGTGAATGATTGCCTGCATAGGCATAGATATATGGCTAAGTGGATGTTTTTCTTTGATGTGGATGAGTTCCTTTTTGTTCCCAAGAAGAGTACTCTCAAAACTGTCATGGATTCGTTTTCGGAGTATACTCAGTTCACCATCGAGCAGATGCCCATGTCCAACAAGCTTTGTCTAGCTGAGGATGCTGGTAAATCATACAGGTATGCCAACTTTTGGAATTTTAATTTTATTTCATTCTATTTTTGGGTTGAGGTTCTAATTGACGAGATGAAAATGCTGGCATTTGATTGAACATGGCCTTTTCGTGCTGTAAAGGGAAAGACAATTCCACTGTCTAGCAATAACTGGCTAATAAATAATTCTTTGAATGACAAGATGTGCTTGCTTTTATACTTTTAGTTGCTGTGCAAGATAGTAGTTGATAGTAATAGTAGTAGTGTTTACATGCCAGTCCGAATGTTGTTGTTTGCCAGTGTTTGATGTAGTCCTTTGCTAAAGTTGTGGGGTATGCTTGAATTAATAGCATGTCATGTGATCATGGTGCTGAGAGAATATGCTGTTATTCTTCTTCATCCCAATACAGAAGAATCATTCCAATGCATCATGGTGTTTCTCATCACTTTCCAGTTTTTTTGAGGTAGATGTTGAAATCGGTGGCAGAGGCTATCAACTTCTCTGCACTAGCTGCTTTTTTTTTAATTAGATTATGGCATCAGTCCTTACTTTTTACTACTACTGGTGGCTGTAACTGCTGCTTAGTGCATTATTGTTGTGTTGCTGGCTTTGTTGCATTAGTAATACATTTTTTGTTGATTTTGGATCCTGTAACATCAGTAATGGCAATGTTTTTGGAGCTATTAGCCTGTGCATTGCCATTCTTTAGATTCTTGTCCTGTATTCATCTCAATATGGGCCAAATGGAAGTGGGGTTAGTTAGACCTTCTTGTGATGCAAACTTGTCTTGTCCTAAATGCAAGTTTTGAATATGAGGTTCTCCTAAATGGTCGCCATATTTAGGTAAGTAATTCTGTTTCTATATGGTCACTAGGAAAATCTCATCATAAAACTAATTGTTATTGCTTTCATTTGAGAGTGCAAGTTCAACCATTTTTTTTTTTACCACCCCTCCCACCCCTCTCCGTGCCCTTCGTGCCTCCAACTAATAGGTACATGGTTGAAACTCTAAACCTGACGGTGAGTAGAACTCTAAGAGCCCTCCCCTGACTACTGAACGGACTTCAGTGGTTCGTGTAAGTTCAAATTGTAATAACTGAGTCGTACGAACACTCAATAGTTTCCTGTGAACTTTTTGTTTGATGTCCATGTCGATGTGAGAGGTGGAAACGCTTGTCCAAGGTGCATTAATTGAATGTCAACACGTTTGATTAGTTGATGTCACGTTTTACCAATCTTATAATTGTGAGCTTCAACCTTAATATGTAGCTAACCTTGACCAACACTGTACATTTGATGCTGGACGTTATGCTATCAATTGTATAAAAAACAGTTTAGAATAGTACAACTGTACAAGGAATCAAGCCAAATCTGAAAACGAGTAAATTTGCTGGAAACAGCTTTGATAAATTGTGTCTTTATTATTCAATGTCCGATTTTGATTCCAGGAAATGGGGATTTGAGAAGTTGGTGTACAAGGACGTGAAAAGGGGAATCAGGAGAGACCGCAAATATGTCGTGCAACCGCGTAATGTGTTTGCGACAGGGGTTCACATGTCGCAGAACACGGTGGGGAAGACAACCCACAAGACAGAAGGGCGGATCATGTATTTCCATTATCACGGGACCATCGCCGACCGCCGAGAACCATGCCGGAGATCGGTCAACACCACAGATATCACCATTGACGGTATTCCTTATTCCTTGGATACTTCCATGAGGATTGTTGCCGGTTTTGTGAAAAGATTCGAGCTCAAGATGATTGGTTCTGTTTTACAAAGAACACGGCAATGATATATTATATATATGGGTCAATAGAGGCATTTTCCTTCCCACATTGTATGATCTATTTATTTTTTTGGTCCCATTTTAGTTGGAGTTCTTTTACTGTATGATAGTTTTCTTTTCTTTTTTTTTTTTTAAAAAAAATAAACTATAGAGCTGCATATAGATTTAAGGAGGAGGAGGAGGCCTGTATATGTTTTGGTATAGAAGAGGACTTGGTTAAAAGGGGTTTGTATTCTTTTTGTCTTTATTTATTCATCCCTCCTTGATTAATTTGCCTAATTATTTCTTCTTGGCCTAATTATATTGTCGGTAATGAGGGACCACTTTTGTCACCACCTTTGTCCTTGCGCTTTCAACATTTATGGTCCAGCCAAAATTCGGCTTGAAAATAAGCAAAAAGAATTTTCTCGTAGAAGAATTTTCATGTTTAAATAGGTAAGAATTCATTTTTTTGGGGCTAGTGGATAGCTAGGAATTCATGTTTCTACATTTTATTTGTTTAGCACATGTCTATTAGTATTTTGTTTTAAGATTCTAGTTTAAATTGGTACCATGAATAGATGAGGGTTATTTTCTTTTATTTTTTTGTTTGGACTGTTATTTTTAGAAATTTTTATAAAAAAAAAATATTGTAATAATTTAATATATATGAGATAAAAAAATAATTAAAAAAATTATATTGATCAGGACGGTAAGTTATGAATGAATATTTGAGGGTGGGTTATATGAATAGAAAAATATAATCCAAACACACTCTGGCAAGCCCAAATAACGTAGTGTACTTGTTACTTTTTTTTTTTTTTTTTTTTTTTTGTCGATGCGATAGCTTTTTATATTATGGGAAGGAGAGGGTTTGAAAGGGTCTCAGAGGGGATTGAACCACCATCGAATTACATGAGTGTATTATGCATCTGCCTGCCTGGATTTTTTAAGTAAGGTTACATTTAATTGTGACAAATTGGTGAATTTTTTAAGTAAGTTTACATTTAATTGTACTCCCTCCGTCCCACTTTGATAGTCCCGTTTTTCTTTTTCGTCTGACCCAAATTGTAGTCCACTTTCCAATTGAAAAATGTAGTTATATTTTAATTTTTCTAAAATACCTTTATTCTTTGTAAGTAGTTGTTATTATAAACCTACCCCATTTAATGAGAGTTGATTCTTTTTTTATCATCAATTCAAGTTCCCATAAAATTGTACCATGTTTAATGTGAGGGTATTGACGAGGACTATAAGTCCAAAAGCTGGCGGTTTAGTGTACTCGTTACGTTATACGTCTTAAAGTCATAAATCTTTTCCTTTTTGACAAGTCAAAAATGTGCGTGACAGATAGGAGGATAGGAGGGCCCTTATAAATTTTTAGCAATAATTAATGGTCCAAGAAGAAAAGAACCTAAGGAAAGAGAAACATGGTGCTTGTCTTTGTGTTCCTTTTCCCTTCTTTTCAGCTTCCCTGTGGAGTGGAGTGCCATAAAAATCAAGAAGAATCAAATCCTTAAAATGGGCTTAAAGCATAGCATTCTTGGCATGGTAGCGGGTCTTTTGAGATTGAATCCCATAATTGAAAAATTTGCCAGTGGTGTTAGATCTCTAAAACTGCCTGTTGTTATCCTTTCCTGATTTTGCTTGAATAGAATTCCATAAATCTGTGCTTGGAAGCAAATCAATTAAAGATAGCTCTTGACACCATAAATTCCATGCGGTTACCAAAGACTTGGATCTTTGTAAAAGGCCAATAAGTGTAGTTTAACCAAATATATCTAGTAATACAAAAGTTCGGATAGATTCGGTTTTGATCATTGTCACGAGTCAGGGCATGTTTTCGACCACGAGTCGCTTACAAAAATTTTTACTGATTAATACAATCCTCGCATCGCATTATCTGTGTCGGTAGAAGTGACACTGACCTTTTTTTCCCCCTAACTCTGAAACAACTGAAAGATTGCTTGGGAAGAGAAAGATGAGGTCTCAATGCGGCGGCTGTGCCTTTCTATGCACAGCGCTGCTTTGCCAGACATCCAGACATAACAGCGCTTGTTCGCTAGTGATATCGCTTTCCCATTTTACTTCTCGAATGCCATGCCAGAGGCTGGATTCCAGAATAAACAACTTCATACTAGTATTACAAACTTGACCACAAAAAAAAGGATTAAGTTCTCTCTTTGAACTGTATGTCGAGGGTTTGAACTTCACTTATAATAACAAAAATTTAAATAAGGTATCAGAGGAGCTTTTTTAAATTCCTTTCTCGATAGATTAGGTTATAGAAACGTTATCGTTATCGTAAAGAAAATACTATTACAATTTTCTATTTCTCCAAATAAAAAATATATATATTTGTATCGGAACTCAAAAAAGGTTTTAGCTCAAATATATGTTGATATAATTGTGAAAAAATGCCTGCACTAGCTCCAAATAGCATCCAAATTTTCTAAATCGAAACTTTGGAGATGTTCAATTTTCAGTTATCATTGGACCAAAACCTCAACGTTGTCCATTTTTTTTTTTATTTCAACTTTTCTTTCCACACGAATTCGAGACCTACATGTCGGTAGAAAGAGAAAGTTCCTCGATTGTACGTTAATTGATTAGGCTAAGGTGTGCTATTATTAGGAAAAGAACAGGGAAGAAAAAAAAAAAAAACAAAAACAAAAGGGCTAGGGTGTGCACCAAGAGTACGTAATTTGGGTTTATCTGGTGCAATGTCCAATGCATCATTACACGTTACAGGATGATAATCCATACATGTGTTTTGAAACAGGAGATGCAAAGATATAGCTGTAAACGTGTTTCCGAATTGGCCACCGAATTTGAGAAATTTCGTTCAGTTCTATCATAACAAATGTTCAGTTCTATACGTAGTACATTGTTGAATTGGACGTATCCACGTTCTGCGTTCATAATCAACCTATCGTTTTCCTTCGTCAAAATCTTTCGACCAGTGATATTGTGCAATCTCGTTCAAGCAACGGGTTAAGAACTAGGGAAAAAAAGAGAGGAAAATGGTCCCGATCGAGAGGAAAATTCGTTGGCGGGTGTCCAGTGGGTCTCCAATTCTCCGGAGCCAGAACTCCAGAACCGTAACCAGTTGATTTTGTTCTGAGGGTGGTAAGGTACGTAACTGAGCCGAGTCGAGTTCGAGTATTGCTATACTCGAGCTCGACTCGACCTATAAATAACTTGGCTCGAGCTCGATCGAGTCGAAAAATCTCAAACTCGAGCTTGACTCGAGAAAATCTTTAAAAGCTCGAGACTCGACTCGATAAGGCTCGACTTTTAGTCAAATATCGAGTCGAGTAATCAAGCTTTTTGACTCGATACCTTACTTGTAAATTCAATATAAATTATACCCATAACGGTCATTTTATAATTATAATAATATATATTATTTAAATTATATGGCTCGACGAGCTACGAGCTGCAAAATTTTGGCTTGAATTCGACTCAAATGTATACTCGAGTAGTTCGAGACTCGGTTCGAACTCGGTTTGATCGAGTTCAAGCCAAGCCATTGACCAAGCTACTCGGCTGGCTTACATGGTACAAACAATATTCCAATCCAGAAGAGTTGCAGTTGAATTGGGTCATTGAATTAAATGATGGTCCCGGATTGATCCCATCCCATGGCTTCAATAAATGGGTGTTGAGGCTTGTGTCTTTACTGAACATGCTCCCAAGGGCAGAAAACAGCCAGCTACTGAATTTCAGCAGGAATGTACAGCTCCAAGATGTAAATTTTGACATAAATGCTTGTGGAGATCGAATTTCAGTTTACCTGCTGTATTCTATCTATGGCATTGGTAGGAGAATAGTTCAAGAACGGTTTGATAGAAATGATGAGAAGTCAGATAGGGTACTTGTTACCGACAATGGTACTAATGATCATGATATTTGGTGGTGACAATTATGACAATGATTTTTTTTGGTTTTTTAAAGAATTATGACAATCATTCATGTTGTTGAACAAAGAGAAAATCACTACTCTTTGTACCTTTTTTCCCCTCAAGATGCCATTGAAATAGGTAAATATTTTATAGGATAGTATCAATGGATCTATATTCCCTCTAATCCCTTATACACAGTCTAGTTGGGTTTTTCCTATCCTATCCTATGGAATAAGATACTATAAATATTGTGACAAATAATCCGTAATTTTGTTTTTGATTTTGTACTGTTGGCCTTTAGATGCATGCTTAATTATAAATACAATAATTTTAATCATAATTTCATACTTGGTGACGGAAAATACATCAAACATGCAACAAAAAAATGCCATTTTTTCTAGGGAAAATTAAGAAGATGAGAAAATCTACAGAGAGAGAGAGGCACGGCCGTCCTAATATGGACCTTGACTGAGGTCTACCATACCTATTACTGTTAATGATGCCTAGCATCAAATGTAATTAGAAAAATATGAGAATCAATAATGCTGTCCAGATTATCATGCAAATGTTAAAAACTTATTAGTACAAGGAACAGCATAAACTTCAAGATTTCGTCCAGCCCGCTATGATTTTAGGCTGTAATTAAAAATCTTTTATGCTGTTTTTAGATATGATTAAAAATTTCACAAGACAGAACATGTGGAGAAGAATGAATGTGCCTCGATCTCGTGAAACAGCAGATAACAGTTTGTTTGGTGGGCTAGGTAAAGTATCTATATATGGTGTCATTAAATTGAAGGTTCTTCTCCATTCTTCTTTTTATGTGTTAGTGTAATTTTTTAAAGAAGGGAATAAATTAGTAGTGTTAATGTTACCATTGTTTAATCAGCTTTAGCACTTTAATCACGGGCTTAAGAATTTTCTTTTCTTTTTCTTTTTCTTTTTCTCTTTCTCTTTCTCTTTTTGGGGTTTTTATCCTCTTTCCTTTTTCTTTGGAAGCATAGTCATCTACTGATAAAAACAAAAAGAGACCGGAAAGAAAAATCATGATCGGCCCTTCTTTTTCTTTTTTTGCCCTTTGGGCTCATCTTCTTCTTGTTCTTCTTCTTTTTATCTTCATCTCTTCTGCTTTTTAAATTATTTCATCAATGCCTCCAAGCTATGCGCATTATTGCATACGTTCAACTTTCTTTTTTTAACCATCTTATCTTTTTTAGTTTTTAACCTCCATCTCTTTTTCCCTTCGCATATATACATTGTTAAACAAAATATTATCACATTCATTAGCCAAAATGGTCTGCTGACTAATTAATAAGATTTCGATGCGGTTCATTCATTACCAATTGGTTGGTTTTAAGATGAAAGGCCAAGCTCTTTTAAACATGGTATTAGAATTGATTGGTTTTAAGATGAAAGGCCAAGCTTTTTTAAACATGGCATTAGGACTACCCCTACATCTTCGCTCATTTACAAATGACTCAAATTCTTGGAAAAATATCAGAGAGGTTTCACTTAATATTACATAAAGTTTTAAAAATATCACTTACCTTCCTTACTTTTGTTATTTGAGTAACAAAACTTTTAAAAATCCTAAACTACCCTTTCAATTGCTAAATAAAAATATTTCCTAAACCACTTTGTTCACTTTAAGAAAATCATCACTTAAAAAAGCAACCCCTTGTAGTACTACCACATCATAATGTTATACCCCATAAAAATATAAATTTAAAAATAAAAAAGATATTTGAAAAGAAATACACTTGCACCAATTTAACTCTATATGCTCAAAACCGATTTCTTATGAACTCTTTTTTTTCAACATCTGCTCATTGCCTAAACTATTAAATTGTACCAATCATTATAAAAATTCACTCAAAATAAGCAAATAAATCATTACCCACTTTATCACAATTACAAAAAATAAAAGGTAAATAAAATTCAATTTATTATAATTTACAAATAAAATATTGCATAGTCATCCAAAAAATGAGTAAGAGAGAATGATGGAGAAAAGGGAAAGAGAAGAAAGTGACTTTGATTTCTTTTTTTTTTTTTTTAAATTTTGACATCCATTTATTTGATATGTGAATTATGTATCAAGTTAGGATTAATATAGTCTTTTTACATATACCAAGGGAGGTAAGTGATATTTTAAAAATCTCAGGAGTGCCAAGTGATATTAGGAGAAACCTCAAGGGAGGTTTCTGATGTTATCCCCAAATTCTTCTGTGCATCGGGCTGTATTGGGGATAATACCAAATGAAATTTTTGCATGCAGTCCTAAATTAAGTTGCATGTACCAGGGTAGTCTAATTACAAGTTTAGATCAATATATGTCGGTTAAATTTTGTAAAATTCAACGTTATAATGAGTTAAAGAATTTATGAAAAAAGAAAAGAGAGAGAAGACTGCAGAAACAAGTTGAAATGAGCAGTACAGGAGGTTCTCTTCACTCTTTTGTTGAGTCTATGTGCAGTATTCAAGGTGACTTTCCCGAAAAAGAACAATCAGAACAAATGGTGGGTGCCTTTGGTAGAGAAGAATGCTGGCGCCACCTGCTGAATATAACCTGCATATTTTGCTGTAATTTCCATTCTGCAAATAAGCAAAAAATTCGCGATTTCAAAAAAAAAAAGTATTGATTTTGTTTTCCGAATTTAAGAAGGAGATCCATTTTCTACACTCGTGTAGGCAAAACAGTTAGCCCAAAACTTCGAGATGTATGCCACCACACTATGAATTCTTCGATCCTATGATGCATGTGGAATGAAGTCCGTCTCCATGCATAAAGATACTTGTAGCCTTGAGCTGTCTATAATGTAAATGCTTAATGGAAGAAGATCATCAAGTACCCCTTATTTTTTTGCCTAAGTTGTAACAAAGGACTGAGTATCCCAACTTGCAAGCGAAGATATCTTTGCTTCTCTTACCTATAGTACTTTAATGTCAAGCTTTACGTCCCGTACGTCTAAATTCAAAAGTTCATGGAGATGGGGTTTAGGTATTTTATATGTGCAAGTTTCTAGTTATGATTAACTAGATAAAGTTGCAACGAGAGTGCAGGAGGAGTGCGGGAGCCATAAATCCAAGTTAGAGGATGTAAATTTCAACTATTACGTCAAATGTGATAATACGGAATGATAGAGGTACATCTTACATGTACCTTTGAATTTCAGTCTAAAGTGCAAAATCTTTTTCTTCTTAGAAGGACATCTTTGTTTAACTTGAAATAGATCCAATACTCTTGTGAAACCAGAAGTAACAAGTATCAAGCTTAGTTGTACTAGAAAGTAACAAGTATCAAGCTTAGTATCAAGACAGGAGCTTAGATTCTAGATGTGAATTGATTAGTGATTATGTCTTAGGCATATTTCAAGATGAGGTATTGATCAATTTTCAGTGTGTCTAATACTTTTTATATAGAATCACTTGAGCCTTTGCTTATATAAGTGTACATCTTTTGTCCATCAATACAAAATCTATCGTTGCAGGAAAAAAAAAAAAAAACAAGTATCAAGCTTAGTTGTTTAGGGGGCTACATAGATATAGAAGGGAAATTCACTACTTTTAGGGGAGGCAAGTATGGTACAATTCAAAGAATATTTAAAATTTTTAAGCCTATATTGTGAATTTTGCAAAGTTGGGGGACAAGGGTGCAATTTTTCACTCTCCACTGCACGTGGCTCTTGCCATTGTACATAAACATCTTGGATACTTATTATGGGTGTTTTCTTTGATTGTTGCACCTAATTCTAGATTCTAATTTTAATAAATCAATTTCTTTTTGTACTCTCATTTGCTTTTGTCCCAAGATTATGATTTTTCAATATAAAAAACACCAAACTTAAAAATCTATTCAGGAGTAACTTTTGTTAATTCTAATTAATTAACATTTTACGAAATCTATAACAACTTATTAGAGTTCTAGTACACAATTAATCTCGGCAATAGTCTTTGAATTTTTTGTGAGTGCTTAGCAAAGAGGGATGCATCTACTAAATCTTTAGATAAGGTTCGAGAATGTATGATTTTTCTCCATGACGGATTATGTCACCCCCAACTCCAATTCTTCATAGTTGGCAGATTTGATGGCTGAGATTAGTCTAATCAGGCTTGGGCTCGAGTTGACCTCGGCTGAGATCAACCCAAGCTCTCGATCGATCTCGGCCGTCTTCATATTTTAGATCAACGGTCAAAATTAACATAAAATTGACTGAATTGATCTCGACCACCAAAAAAGTTCAGTGTGATTGCAGATAACGATGTGCCTATTGAACATCCCATTAATATCCCAAAAATCACATCTAATTTATCACTAATAACCTTCAGTACTTAACAAGTACTCAATGGCCATCAAAATTGAACACTTGGAGTGCATCTTAACATGTACCAAATACCCACCTGTTAGAAAAACCTTATATGTTTTAATCTTAGATTGATTGTAATGTTAATACCATCTAGAACACTGTTAACAATTCACAAAACTTGTTTAGGTTAATCCTTTAAGGGTTTAGCTAAAGGGTGTCTAATAGACACTTGTTAAGAGAGTTTTAAGTGTTAATTCTTGGATAAGAGTGTTATTAATTTTTTTTTTTAAAAAAATCTATATGCAAGGATGCAATAAATGTGACGCTTGTTAGAAATATACATCCTTTAGCCCATTTGGCTAGATAATTATTGAGTATTGACTATACTAACAAAAAATTGTTTAATTACTAGAATCATGATCACATCAATTTAGATTACTCTTGAAATACCCAAATTATATACTATTAATGAAAATTATTTATCTATGAGAACTATTGAAGGCTTCCAAAAGAGGAAGGCACTCCTCTTTTGGAATCAACTATCTAGCTAAAAAATTGGCACTTGAATTATGGGAGGCTTCCAAAAGAGGGAGCCTTCCTACAAAAATTGGGGTATGCCACTAAGTGCAGCGAGCACACGGTATTCTTTAGTAAAAGGCGAAAGAATAGTTCGCTATGTGCTCACTGCGTGGCTCCATGACTGATTAACTGCTAAGGAGGACTTCTATATACAAAGGAAGCTGGCTCTCGTCTGCTTCCCAGTTTCCATGTGGGACTTCTTCATCCTGTGTTTGCATGCTTTCAAGTTTCAACTGATGCTGTGTGTTATCTGGACAAACAAACAGGAAGTCTAACTGGGTCGATGCCAAATGTGATAGTGCAGCAATTTATTAGTTATTTGATTTTTAATTGAGTTACTCATGCAATTTAGTCTAACACCTCCAAGAATTTCTTGGTGTTCAATTCCTGTCAGATACCTCCGCCCTTTTAAAATCATCTCGTAGGAAATGTCGAAAATTTTGGAGTCTAACTTGTGTTAATGGCTCTTATTGCTTTTACTCTTGACAATGAAGTATATCACGAAGGTGGTAGCTCTTGGGAAAGTTCCTTTATCTGGATTATAATCTGTTTGAATTTGGTGGAGAATTGGGGATCTCATCACAGGTTATGATGATCATACTTGTGACAGAATATGCATTAAGGATGCAAATGTGCTTCTTCAAGACAGATTCATGGGAGGCTAAAAAATTTTGTAGACAACAAGCTACGAAGAAGGGCATATGCATTAAGTTATTTCCGCTTAGTTTCAGGTTAAGCATATGGCAATTATCCAATCTCAACTAAGCCCGACTTTTAGGCCTCACAACTAAATTCTTCCATTGACAGAGAAGCCTGTTTATGTGACAGTGAACAAATCAGATTTGTTTACTTTCTTTTGATCAAGGGTTGATTCCTTTTCCGTTCGATATCAAGAAATTGCTTCCCTCCCTCTAGTCAAATCCAGTTCAAAACACAGTTTGGCATCCTAAAATCTTATGTCTCATTTTGAATAAATATAATGAGCTTAAATTACACAATTTTCATATTGCTTCTTTACTCTTATAAACACTACTGCATACCACATTGTGCAGGGAAAGGCGCAGAAAGTGCGAATTAGCTGTGCTTCAGCACCTATTCCTCTAGCTTACTGCTGCTTGTATAAAAGCTTTGGACAGGGTTCATAATATAAAACCATGTATTTCATCCTGTATAAAGGTGGTTTCTTTTTCCTTTCTCTGGACCTGTGTGTCAACAATACTGCCAATTGTATGCCAAAAAACGTTTCTTTGTTTTGCTTTTCATTCTTGACCTGGCTGAAATTTGTGAATTCTGATATGATCTTAAGGTGGCACTACATGGTTTAGCTTGATTATGAAGTAAAGCATGTATTTCTAACTACAGTTTCATCTGTCATTTTGAGACAGGATTGGAAGACATCACAGCACAGGTCTAAAGCGTGTCGATGTAATAAAGGGGACAACTACAGAGGAGCTTGTCAACTACAGGGACCGCCATTTTCCTGCTCAATTTTGTTGCTTCACAAGTTAGAGTTAACGTGGTAAATTCTGAAGAAGAAGCAGTTGTTTGGCAGTAAGCCGTGATATTCTTTTTTTTTCTGGTTTGTTCCTCAATGTAAATTTTGTGAAAGTGTATTTGAAATTTGTTCACCTTGGAAAGCAGTTTATTTCTTGAAGCAGTACATCTTTTGGGGAGTGGAATCCCTATGCTACAAAGGTTCTTGAGAATCCTCCTTGGCTTGTGAGAGTGGAAATTCCTCGTGTAAAAGGATGTGGTGATAGACAATGAAATTTCTCCACAAAGCTGGTACCTCGGCTCATACCACTTTGAAGCAGCCCGAGTTTTGATTGTTGCATTTGAAGGACAATGTAAGATGGAGAAACCAGATATTTTATTCTGCTGTCACGTCTAAAGGTAAAATTAAAGATGTGTGAAGAAGGCATTTCCCATGATTGAAAAGGAAGGATTTCAAAAAATGCTACAGATGCGTTCTCCTACTCCTTTGGAAGTTTAAGCCTTGATAATTTCGTCAACAAAATTCTGGTGGCAGAGTCTAAAGTGCTGCTATTGCTATGAATGGGCTCTAGAATGCTACATAGTCTATAGGTTTGTAGAGGTATATACAGATAAATTTATATACATGCATGGATATATATATATATATATATATATATATATATGTTTATATATCCTGTCTAATTGACTGAACACTGCAGGAATTGTAATCTAGCAATCTAGCGTGTGAAAGTATTGTCACCCGAAAAAAAAAAGATAGATCAGGGCTATCTATAGCTATCCATCTAGATTCCCAGACCAGTAGAGAGGCATGAAAAGAAACACAAGGACCTTGTTCTCTGTCCAAGAAAGAATTCAAGATGGAGACCAAATAGATACCACTAGAGGTCCACATTCTCATGATCATCTGCTAAGTAATTGCCATCCTTTGCAAGACATTAAGAGCAGGTCTCCAATCAGCAGATGCAGAGTGGCCCCTCCACTCTTGTGAAGTGTTTGATTCTGCAAGATTGTTGTTGTCGTCTTCATCTTTAGCTTCCTGCTATGGAGTTCAAAAACGGAAAGTTAACCTATTAAGACTGCTAGAAAAATGGATTGCATATGTTCTAAATTTTGGTTCTGCTAGTGCTATCATACTTAATGAAGACGAATGCAGCTCAACAAAGCTTAATATTGGGGTGGTACCCATCCCCCTATTTACTGCCAAAACCTACCAACAAATTCAACTAATCTTACCTCAATATTGTCCAAACATAAAGTGAAGACTTTGGCTCTGGCAATTCCATTGTGTTTAGAGCAGACGAATCCGCTCATTGCGTGTTTCACGCGTTTAACTGGTTCAATTTATCAAGAACTTGTTTCGTAGAGGGACGCACGGACACGGACTCCACGGTGCAACTTGATGCAAGCCTCAACATGGCTAGCAAATCATCGTGCGGACCAGATTGCCATAATTCAGGTGAGAAGAGCTCAAAGGAACGCCCTTCTGCAACCAGTAACCTGGCCCAAGCAACAATATTGAAACCATTTCCATATTCAGAGAAGGAAGGATCAAGTGACTTCTTTCCTGACAGCAGTTCCAAGAGAACCACGCCGAAGCTATAGACATCTGCCTTGTCTGAAACCCTGCAAGTCGTCGCGTACTCTGGTGCAACATAACCAAATGTGCCTGCTACATCAGTGGTGGCATGTGTCTGGAAAACTTCCAGAAGCCGAGCCAATCCAAAGTCTGACAGGTATGCATTGAGTTCCTCGTCAAGCAAGATATTGCTAGGCTTTATGTCTCGATGGACTATGCGCGGAACGCACGAGTAGTGGAGGTAAGTGAGAGCGTTAGCTACATCGACTGCTATCTTGTGTATCACCCGCCACTCTTTATTCATGCATGTTTCTTCATGTATAAAGGTGTCAAGATTTCCTCCGGGAAGGTAGTTGTAGACTAAGAACATTTCAGCCTTGCCAACATAGTATCCCATGAGTGTTACAAGGTTCTTGTGTCTTATTCTTCCTAACGTTCTTATCTCTGCATCAAATTGCTGAATGCCTTGAAATCTACCAATTGATAGCCTCTTCACTGCCACGAGGAAGCCAGGGACAAGTTCAGCCTTGTATGTAGACCCAAAGCCGCCAGAGCCGATGAGATTCCCCACGCTGAAATTCCCAGTTGCTCTAATGACATTGTCATAATTCAACCCTGGAGGAGCACCTGTAAAAGTCACTACAACTTTCCTCCTCAGGCTAGCAAGCCTACTAAGCTTTCTCCTCCCAAGTATAAAAACAAATATAACTGTGAGTATGGAAACCAAAACAGACACAGAAGTGGATATTCCTATGACAAAAGATCTCAATTTACTTCGGTTTTGCCCCTTGCGCACTTTAAGAGGGAAAGGAAGCCCAGTCGGAGGTGCTGAAACACCATGATCGGGGCATGAATGTAGAAATGGATTGCCTTTAAAGCTGTCACAGTTAATTGCATGCTTAAAAGGAGGTATAGGACCAGACAAGTTATTGAATGATAGGTCCAGAAGAGCAAGGTTGGAAAGGGCTGCGAGTGACGAAGGTACTTCTCCGGATATGCTGTTATGATCTAGCAACACAATTTCAAGGTTTTTTGCATTGCCAAGATTTGTTGGAATGTATCCTCTGAGATCATTATGAGATAAATTCAAGACCAACAGCGAAGTCAATTCACCAATTTGATTTGGAATTTCTCCAGTCAAATTGTTCTCAGCGAGAAGAACATGTTGTAAGCCTTCCAACTCCCCAAGTCTCTCGGGCAGGTAGCCAGATAGTTTATTTCTGCTAAGGTCTAGATGTTGAAGCTTTTTCAAGTTCCCAACCTCTGCTGGGATGGAACCATTTATCAAATTCTGTGCCGCTTCAAAGTAAACTAGGCACGAGCAATTGAAAAACTTGGTGTCAATCTCTCCATATACTTGGTTGGAATTCAAATTCAAGTAGAAGCTTTGCAGATTTTCACAGCTGGGCAAAGACTTGCTCGACAGAGTCGCATTGAAAACATTATTGTTTAAGAACAACCAATATGATACTTTAACAGGAGCAGCCAACAAAATAGAGAAGAAAGGCAGTGGACCAGAAAAGTTGTTCCAGCTAAAATCATGAGTTACTACAACTGGAACATCACTAACCAGCAAAGCAGCTCCAGAGAGATCAATATCTTGAGAATGAGATGCCCAACAAGGAGTGATAAAAGAGTAAGCAGCATGAAGAAGGTCTTCCTCAGCTTCCAAGTCCAGAAGGCCAAGAAGGTCTACTCCACAAGAAGATTTCACGGCCAAACCACCACATCCGCTGCTGTTGCTGTTGGTATCAAAAGTATCCTGAATAAGAATAAATCCAGAAAGGGAATTTCGGCTTACGTTGAAGTAGGCCATACAAGGGATTTGCAAATTCGGGGGCAAATAACCCTGCAACGCATTTGAACTCAAGTCCAAGAAAGTGAGATTAGTACACATGGTGGCCAAGCTGTAAGGCATAGAACCAATGATATTATTGAGGGCCAAGTTGAGAACCCTGAGAGAGCAAGATGGCGTCCATTTAGTAGGTAATGGTCCAGCCAGATTGGCCCTGGGAGCCCAAAGCATTTGAAGATTGGGAAGAAGCAAGACCTGGGAGGGTAGGCCTCCATTGAAGGCATTAAATTCTCCCCTGGAGGTGGCAAAATCGAGGCCTGACGGTGGTGGAGAGTCAGATTCAAGCAACAAATTGGTCAGGACAAGAACGGAGAGGCTCTTGCAGTTGGCAAGCTCAATGGGGATGGTGCCGGTGAGACTGTTCCTGGAGATGTCGAGAACCTGTAGTCGAGAAAGACGGCCTAGTGTTGAAGGGATCTTGCCTTCGAAGAGGTTTCCGTTGAGCAAGAGAGTGGTGAGATTCGAACACGTGCCTATGTTAGCGGGAATGTTGCCAACCAAGAAATTGTTAGAGAGGCTCAAGTAAGCGAGAGACTGGGGGCATCCATTGGAACTAGATTTGGACGAGGATAGGGCCCCTGAGAGAAGATTATTGGATAGATCGAGGACAGCCAAGGCCCCGGTGGAATTTAGGAAACCTGGGGGGATGGAATCGGAGAGGGAGTTGTGGGATAGATTAAGGAAGTGAAGTGAGAGAGATAGGAAGAGCGAATGGGGAATGGAACCGGAGAGATTGCAGCCTTGGAGCTCCAAGATTTGGAGAGAATTGAGAGAACCGAGTTGTGGGGGAATGCGCCCAGAGAAGGCATGGTGAGCAAGGGAGAGGATGCGGAGGTGGGTGAGGTGGGCGAGGGAAGAAGAGAGGGTGCCGGAGAGAATGTTGAACCCATTTGGTTGTCGGCCTTGGGAGGGGATGGTGAGGTTAAGAGAAACGACCCTGGAGGAGATGGGATCACAGGAGACGCCGAACCAGGATGAGGAGGAGGAAGAATTGGAGCAGGGATTAGGTGAAGTGTTCCAGGAGCCAAGAAGGTTGGAGGGATCGGAGTAGACGGACGCCTTGAAGCTCAGAAGCCAGGTAGCATCATTGTCTTGGTCTTGGTCTTGAGAAAGAGCTGCAGCATTAAACCTGTGTATTGGAGTGAGAGCCAGCATGGAGAAGAGGAGGAAGAAGAAAGGAGGAAAGAATGCTGCACTGGGTGTCATCTTGAACAAAGTAATCGAATAGCTCCTGCTTTAGCCTCCTCTTCCTCCTCGCAGAGAGCAGCAGCTTAATCTAATCTCTGATCATTTGCTTATTTTGTCTTCACTTTTCATGGAGGTAGGCGGGCTTGGTACGGTGGTCTACTCTGAATTCTTAGTTACTTGGATATGTTCATTCCAAGTTTGTTTAGCTGATGAAGAGAAGAAGGCAAAACGTTGGGGGGGGGGGTAATCCATAAAATGTAAGATCACACATTAATTCAAGTTTCATTACATGTAAAGAATGTTGAATTGAGAGAGTGAGAGCGAAGGGATATACCTAAGCAAGATATTCGAAAGTGTTGCTTTTGTGGGCTAGCTTGCAGACGAGATCTGGTATACTGTGTAGTACCAAGTACTTTCAATAGCAGACGATAAAGTATAAGGAGGAGGAGCTGAGAGATGATTAGCGGAGCAGAGACGGACTGACGTGAGTGGTAAAGACAGAGACTTGGTGAGCAGTAAAAGTGCAGCAGCAGCAGCTGAAATGAGAAAATCCCCCCTCCCAAGCCCGCCAGTCAGGTTCCATAGAGTGGGAAAGCACTCTTCAATAATAATCACTGAAGCATAATAGGACTTGGGAGTCCATTCACAGATACTAGATAAGATCTGGAGATTGCCTGATCATCCATGATCATCAGAACCTGTCCTATACTGGTATCTGCAATGAATTGACTACTTACTTCTCCTCCTTCTCCTCCCCTGCTGAAGTCAAAACTTTGTCACTGGATGGAAGATTAAGCTTTTCTTCGGTTCGATGCCCTGTTGCCGCCTCTCTCAACTCTAGTCAAAATTATTATTAGCTGTCGTTAACTGATGGAACATTTTTTTTAATATCAGAGATACTGGAATTGTGGAATCCTTGTCGATTGCTCTGCTTGCACTTTGGAATGTTGGTTTTTTGCTAGTGTCCTCAGGCAAAACAAAAACAGCCGGCCATGGGTCCATCGGCATCTACCTCTATCTCTCCCCTTCCCACTACCTCATTGGCCTTCTTCTTGTCTGCTCTTCCTGTCACACATGCCTGTCTGCTCTGTCGTCGCGGCCTCCCCTTCCAGGAATGGAAACAGTTAAACAAATAAAACCATCACTCAACACCCCATTTTGTTTGGCTATTCATTCAATACATTCAAGATCGCCATCGCAGGTCGCGGTCACATTGTGGTCTCGGTTGTTCTATATCCGTCGCGACATATCGGTTGAATATCGGATGATACGCACATTATAATACATGAAATTTTGAAAAAATTATTAAAATTAAAAAGTACCAAAAAAAGCATAGATTAAAAAAATATTCGAGTCGATTCCGAGTGGACTGGGATATATCGGCCGATATTATACATCACGGATTCAAATCAGCCAATATTGGCCGAGTCAGAGCGAGCTATTGCGGATATGATAATATCATTATATCTGCATTTTGGGGATCGGTATCGTACCGGTTCCCTCAGTTCTAGTTACGACTCGGCCGATATGTATAGCGAACTTCAACAGATTTTTTTTTTTTTTTTGTCAATAATTAATTGAACATTTGAACTTGTACATGGGAGTTTCACCTACCACAATGACCTCCAAACTGAGACAATAAGACATGGACTTATTAACTAATCTGTCATAATCGTTGTGGGTTCAACTTCAAATGGTTAAGGCCGTTGATTTCCACGTACTTTTCATTTCATTTTCTTGTTTAGAAGTCCATGTAGTTAGTAGCTCACTGATAAACGGTGACTGAGTAGGTGTAGTTAAGGACTTTGGCCATCATCAATGGTGGCATTCGAATCACTCCAACTCGACCTTTACTGATAATAGTAACAACAGATGATGTTGATTGCAAGATTAAAAAAAAAAAAAAGAATCTGGAAAGATAAACAGCTATTGTTTATACATTTATCAACCAGCTGGATCCAATAGTCAAAACTCATTTCTTCTTTGAGTGCGCTGTCTAGTTCCATAGCCACCTAACTCGTGGCAATGGATACTATCCAATCTCTGATCAATGATCAAAGGATACATAGTTTTGCAGGCTGAAAAGGAAAACATGATATATCAGATGCATCTCAGATTGCTCTTGTAGAATAAGTATATATATATCTTGAAGGGTTCTCAAATGAATGAACAGAGCACATAAGCATATGTGATTACTAGACCTATTGGAAAGTAGCTAAATTATGTATTTTATGATCATTGCCATGATTTCTGTGTTCTATGGTGGGCAAATGATCCATAGAGGAGGATGATGACAACAATGACAAAACTTAAAAGCACTCTGAATGAAGAATGGAATGCATCGATGTTTTATCATTAATATCAATCTTATTTTAGCCCCTCTAAGTTATCAGGGGAATTCTAGGAACTACAAATTTAGAAGTGGGTAAATTAGGCATTACAACAAAATAAAAGGACATGATTATATGTGTGTGTGTGTGTGTGTGTGTGTGTGTGTTGCACGTGTTGTTGTCAAGAGTAATTTACTGTTTAATCTTCCAATGATCATCATATTATAACATAATAAATGTGTAATCATATCAACTTTGTGATTGTCTATTCTTTTTCAAAGCCTTTTCCCTGATTTATTATTTTTTGTATTTTTCATTCATCTCCTGTAAAACTAAATTAGAGATAAATGCCAATGAGATTAAGTAAACTTTTGTTTCAAAAAAAGAGAGATAATTAAAATTTTCTCAATCACAAACTATAATTTTTTAATCCTGGATTCGAGACCTTCCATTTATACTAAAAAAGTACAGATATATATATATATATATATATCTTACTTTTCTGAGCCTATTTGTTGTAATTAATATACTTAGCAACAAAGGCTTAATACGTTTTGCAATTGATAGAGGTGCTTTGTTTGTACGATATTTTGTAAAGCTAATTATTTGTTCTTCAACTAAAAAATAATTTCACAAATTTTTTGATGGATGATGAGGCGGCCATCTATGTACGGCAAAATCAAAAACTATCATCAAAGTGTGGAACTTTTATGATACTAAATAGTTTCTGCAGAAGAAGATGAAGTAATTATCTCACCATTGTTAGAAATTTTTAGCATGATTGGACAGGTGGAGATGAAGAAACTGCCTTCACAAAATGAATAAAATTTCTGTTGTACAGACCACTTAGCAAAGGCGATCGATTACATTTGATCCTTAATAAAGCCTTGAAGAATACATAAAATGGCTTCAAGAGCCAACTTATTCTGGGAACATTAGTTAGATAACCGTGAGATCTCTGATTCGACTTTTAAATCCTTCCCTTTTTTCTTTTATTTCTTGTAAGGTTGGAGTCTTATCTTAAACTAAAATGCTATTATAAGTAATTATATCACTATGTTCTGGTTGCTTCAAAAACTCTAATAAAAACTTGTTTGGATTGCATTTTTTTAGATTTTTTATAGAAAAATTACTGTAACGATTTGATAAATGTGAGATAAAAGGGTGATTGGGAAATGTGTTCACGGAAAACGTAGCAATTTTTCTTTGAAAAATGGCTGTCCAAACAAGGATGCAACTTCATTTTTAATTGATTTATTCCTAGGGAGCTTAAATCCTCCCCCTCTCCCCCCTTGTCATTTCTTTCTGTTCTTCCTTCTAAAGATTATTGCTTGGTTGTTTGTTTAGGTTGGTTTAGTACGTAACTCTTGTTTTCGAATTTCGTAGGCATTTAAGCAACAGAATCAACCGTCTAGCTAAAAAATTGGCACTTGAATTATGGGAGGCTTCCAAAAGAGGGAGCCCTCCTACAAAAATTGGGGTATGCCACTAAGTGCAGCGAGCACACGGTATTCTTTAGTAAAAGGCGAAAGAATAGTTCGCTATGTGCTCACTGCGTGGCTCCGTGACTGATTAACTGCTAAGGAGGACTCCTATATACAAAGGAAGCTGGCTCTCGTCTGCTTCCGAAAGCGATGTGGGACTTCTTCTTCCCTCTCCTGGCACGCACCCTCCTTCGATGACTCTTAATTCCAGGTGCAGGTTCATCTGCATCTATGCCATCAAATTGTCTGTGTAACTTTGACAAACAAACAGAAAGTCTTAATGTAATTTATGCAAAACGTGAAAGTGCAACAGTTGAACATGACCTTGAGGATACCGCTGTAGTCCTGCAAGTATCCTTACTTATATAGCACAGCAGATGGGTATTCTTGCTGCAAGTTAAACAGCTCTAAGTTCTTCTACTCGTAATTTTTTGGGGTTTATAAGCCAGATTCTTATAAGCTCGGCTGCAAAATTCACAGCTAATTATGTTTAGACTGTTGGGTTATCCAAATTCAAGCTCCCAAAGTATTTGCTTTTTTTTTTTTTCTTTCTTTCTTTCGGCTCAAAACTAGGCCCAACTAGAGTTCACTGCAGTCAACCTGCTCGCGAGCAGCTAGATTCAAAGCTCAATGATCGAGCTTAAACTCGAGCTCGTGTTTAAGTTGATTAAGTCGAACTCGAGTCCAAATACACTCAACTCGTTAGCTCGCAAGCCAACACGATTTTATACATATATATATTTTTTATTTTTTATTTTAACAGTGAAATAACATAGATATATATTCCTAAAATTTTATTATTTATTAAAAATTTATTATTTTATTCATTTTTTAAAAATAAAATATTTTTTTTAAGCTCGAGCTCAACTCGAATTTGAGTCGAGTTTGAGCTTGAGTTTTATAGTGAGAACTCATCAAGTTCAAGTTTAATAAAATTAAGTCGAGACTCGACTCAATTAGATGGAAATTCGACTCAACTCGTTTAGCGCAACAAAAGAATTATTGTAACTAAATTCCGTCCTAAGGTCCAATAAGAATGCATGGTACTCGCTGTATATGACCAAAGAGTAATGGACAATGAGATTTGGTAGTAGATTTTTATTTTTCTTCCTAACAGCAATAACTTGCACTCATTGATTAGAGACGGAATAAGCCAAAATGGCTGAAGAAAGACATTGATACCAGATACACATTTAGCAGACTGAGCGCTAAACTACGAGCTATTGCATTATAAGATGTAGGACACCAATTATGAACCTTAATTCATGATGTAAGGAAACATATTTCTAATATGTTGCCGCCTTCAGTCTGCGAATGACTGACTATAGGAGTAGAAAACGCTTGAAAGCAAAATTTCAATTATATACCAACAGGCAACAACTAATAATGCAATGAGAAACATAAAAGTAGTTTGCTTGTTTTCCCTACTTGTAGTTGTCAAATACATATGGTATACTTGTTTTACAATTTTCATATATAAAAATTTGTTCATAAAAATCGTGGGAGAAGAATGTCTTAAAAAAAAAAAAAAATTGCACATCTTCCTTTGCCCATCTACTGCCATGTATATATGACATAGCGATATGAAATTAAATTTTGGAAGTAATATACCTGAAAATAGTCACTTTTTTTTTTTCTTTTGTTGATGCTCGTTCCCTCCCGGTAAAAGCTGGAAAAAATTGCTGATGTTGTGCTTCATGTGTCTTAATAACTTGTATAGATAGGTGAATGTAAAATGATTTCTGCAAAAGTTGACTTTTTTTTTTTTGTCAATCGTCACTTTTACTATCATTATCTAAGGAGGAAACCCAACTGGGTTTAGAGGGTCGGTGAGGATTAAACCATCATCGGATCAGACGGGTGCACTACGTATCTATCTGAATTTTTTAAAAAACTACTAAATATAGCAATTGATGGGAAGTAGAGGTTACTTTGCCTCCTACTCCACCACGCCTTAAATAACTTAGTGGTGGCCACCAGCTCAGAGCCTGTGGTTGCAAAAGTTGACTTTGGGAAGGAAATGTTTATTGTTCCTTGTCTGTGTTGGAAAATATGCCAACCAAATGGAGCTAGAAAAATGTTTTTGTCATCTTGTGATCTAGAGCTTTTATGGTTTTGAAGAACGATAACTCCACTCTCAACCAGTGTTTCCAATTCTGCAATTAACAAACTGCAGAAATCCCGAACCAAGAAGAGTATCAATTGCATCTAAAGTCATACTTCTCAAGATTGAAAATTTAAGAGCCAAGGGTTTACCTAAGCTGATAATATTCTTAGAAGTCTAGAAGAAAATTGAAAATAAATTGTACGTTTGCTCAATGTATCAGTGTTGAACACTTCATAGAGGGAGGAAAGATTCTTTGCATAGTTCAGGTGAGATCAGAACCCTTATAATAGCTTCCAGATAGTTGATTTCATGTTGTCTCAGATCAAGTTCTTGCATCAATAATAAAGAAATATAAGCGTACAGAATCCTTCTTGCCCTTCGGCAGTAGTTTAGGAATGTAGTGCTTAAGCAGTCTGCGCTTCTAAGAATGAGTCCAGGTCCTCTCTAGCCTTGTGCAGGCGAACATCATCTGTAACGCAAGAAGTCGGTGAGGCTGGGTAAGATGTGGGAGAAGAAGTAGAAAATCGAACGTGACGAGCTGAATCGGGTGATTTTTTTGATGTTGTTCTTGACGAATTTTTCTTTAGAACCCCTTTTCGGTCCTTATCGAACACAAAAGCTGCTGTTACTGGGGAATCTGTATCACTAGCATTGCATCTGATCATCTCCAAAGGAAGATCGTAGAAGAGATTGGAGGCATCTTTTTGGCCCTCCGCATCGTCTAATATGGCAGATGACCTCCAGGAACCACATTCAAATTTCTCGAGCGAGACCCTCTTGGATACTAGTAATGCTAGGTTCTCCGGTCCCTGAATATGCACCATTTCTGCTGGTTCTTCCTTCCTGGCTCTAACTGGTTTTGCTCCCTTGCCAAAACCTGGCAGGAACAAGCACAGAGCTCCACATTTAAAGTTCTCATCGACAGAATCTGTCGCCTTTTCAGCGCTATAACTCTTCTTGTGCTCCAAATTGGGTTCGGCCGTATACATGTAGTTCTTGTTATTGCTTTGATGATCATGCTTCACACTGTTAGATTTTGCCACCCATTTAAGGTCAAAATCTTCAGGTGGGGCGCTTGTCCTTCCTTCACCGCATGACTTGCTTCTCCGAAGATGGCTCGCCCGCAACCTCTCGAGATTCGTAAGCGCTATAGAGTCTCGGTGGAAGAAAGGGTTGACAGAGAGAGAAGCCACTTGGTTTAGATTTTTTGATTTCTTCTTTGGCAGCATGGTGCCAAACTTTGGTGAGGAAGAGGCAGAGTTTGGCAGGCTGTAGCTTAAGAACTTTGGCTTTGTAGGCGGATGAAGGGGTGGAAGAACGGGTATCATCAACTTGGAATTCGCTGATTCTCTGAGGGAGAATGGATCAACAGAAATACGCTTCTCACTTCCCATGCTCTCTGATTCAGAAAGCAGGGAATACTGGATGTTCTTTTTAGCACATACATGAAGGTCTGCAACTGAAATGAAAGATTCATCTGCTTCTTGAGTGCCCATGATAAGTGCAGGCATGTCCACTCTTTGAAGCCGAAGTATTCACCTTTACAAAGGGTCAGAAAAACGATACTCCTCTGTTGGATTTTGGCAATTTAAGAGAAGGTGGGAAGACTGCTTGAGTTAGAACGTGTAGGGCATGTTCCTCAGATCTATTAGTCGTGATTCCCATGTTTTCTCCTGACTCCGACAAAACTAATACTACATAGTCTCCAAGACAATTACTTAATGTACAGATTGTCAAAAGAGAGAGAAAGAAAGAACATAAAAATTGCCTTTCTTGGGACAAGTCTGATGAATTTTCAAGCTAGATCAGTAAAGCAACTATAGTTTGCAAAACTGCCAGGTTTAGGTGCAGACAAGAAAAGATAAAGTCTAAACAGAATGAGACCAAAAGACAATGAAACAAATTTACATAATAAGATGCAGAGGGCAGGATAGAGACTGAAGCAAGGACAACTCAGTATACAAGCATATTAGAATGTTAACCACTAATAGTCTCGTTGACATATACAAGCTCAGATAAATCGACAACCAGTTGTGTCGTGAATACTTATGAGCTTATCTTTTGTGTCTGTGATGTGTGGAGGCTTTTATTGTCACACAGCAGAAATTTTCATTGCAAGGAATTGTAGAATAAGATCAACACTACAGAGATCCCAATTATGACTGGAAGTGCTGTGACCAAGTAAAGAGCTCCATATCCCTGCATGAGACAATGTTCTCAGTCCAAAAATCAGGGCAAACGACAAAATGCACAGAAAGATCCTGCACAAAGCACATTCTACTCTGTCCTCCAACGGAAAAAGTAAATATCCAGATAAGAATTCTCAATAATTGTTTCTGGCTTTTGTTTTTCAATTTACCTTGCATCTCAAAATAATTCAACCTTTGATTGACCTAATATTTTCCATCTGACTGTCACACGCATCTTGAAAACAAACACCCAGTTTGTCATTCTTTTGTCCCTAAGAAAACAGTTTTCCTCAAAATGAAAGCAACAACCTACTAGCTATGTTTTCAATAACCTACCAGTTTTCCTCACAGAGATATGAAGCATTGGAATGATAATCACGTAAAGTATCAACATTTTACTATCTAAAACCCAAAGCTTTTCAGCTAATGAACAACAACTATTTCAATCGGACAGAATAAGAATTTCAAATTGTAAGCTATAGAGAATAGTTTAACAGTCACCGGAGAAGATATCTTAAACTTCTGAATAATAATATTTAGAGAATCTGAGTTTCTAATTTGTCTATATTAGAAAGAAGGCATCAATTGTGCTTCAACTTCAAATACAACATCTTTTAGCTTGTACGTATAGAACTGTCAGAGCTCAAGGACTTTCAATGAGTAAGTGGCTCGCATTGGCTTTCCCAGCTCGTAACCAAAGTACATCCCTCTTCAGATTATATTGACTTGATCAGTTTCATTGAATATAATGGCATATTTGGTGCAATGTGTTTGACGCATTAAATAAAGTTATGAATATCGCCATGCACATTAGAGTTGTTTTGACACCCTTAACTAGATGGACTTGATATCTTAAAAGAACTTTGTACTCTCAAATCGACCTCCAATATGTTAACTTTGCTAAGATGAAAATTTTATTCATATAGCTTACAAAAACACCATGCCATGGATTGGAAAATTGACATATGACAGTTCTTATCCATCTTGTCCTCAAAGACCACAAAGAAGCAAAAGTTGCAAACAGAAAGTGGATCTGAATGATACAATAGAAGGGACACTGCAAAGCAATGCATCGATCATGAATTGGAAATATTCAGGGAAGCAGATCAAACCACAGCAGGAGGCACATCCACATCGTCACTGTCATCTTCATCCTCAAACTCAGCAGCAGCATCCCAGTCTACATTGAGTCGCTTAGCAGCCTCTTTTGGATCAATACCAGTGTCTGTTGCTTTTGCATAGAGAGATTTTCGTGGACTTTTCTTCCTTGGTGCTTCTTCCTATCCAAGCAGCATTTAAATTTGCTCAAAAACTATGTTCACATTATCATCACTCATTGCTGAAAAGCTTTGTGTGTCATTCTTGAAATTGAAATGATCTCATAATCCATAGCAGAAGTTGAAACAAATAGAATCGAATTTCACCATGTAAAAGCAAAGAGAATGGAAAAAGAAAAAAAAAGTAGAATAGGAGATCCACAAATTAATACTGGAGAAACTTCATCCAGTTAACTTGGAAAACAAACAGAGGAGTAACACAGAAGGTATACATGTACTTCTACAGGCTCAGCAAAAACAGAAAATGCAGATAAATCAGGTGCAACTGAAACAGTGGTTATGATTACTATTAACACAATGTAATATCAATTTTCCAGTGAATTGAGATGGAAGGTAAAACTTTCAATAAAACTTTAGTAGAATTGCAAATGACCTATATGCAAATCACTTTCACAAATTCATTTTTTATGTCTTCAAAATATTTGCCATCCTGCCTTGAGTTCCGCCACCCCACAACACAATAACTGGGTGAATTGATAAATTAGTCCTTTTCTACCAGATAAAACCTTAACATGATATAGTAAATTTAAGTACATGAAAAGGACCAGACAAAATTAAAAAATCATAACATTCTAATTCAATCACTAGCATCACAACTTTATGTTATCTATACTATGAGATAAAAGCAAGCAACTTCAGGTTTTAGCAAATAACTTTTGAGTTTACAGGTAGAAGCAGGATTGCAAAATACCCACATTACTTAAAGTTGACGTTGAGAACAATAAAAAATACAAACTTTCATGACTAATATACCCTTTAACATTTCAAAATATACCTCCAAGTTCGGCCATGAAATCATTTCTTCTGCTAGCATCTTCAGAGCAAGACGATTTTCAGGAACTTTACCTTTATTTACCTAAAAATGTAGGAATAAATAGGATAAGGTTTCACTGCAAGGCAAATTAAACATGACCAGACATATTAAAATTGTTAAAGAAATCCAACAAACAAATCAATCCTCAGACAGAAACAATCAAAGACTCAAATTGAGAATTCCAGATACAGAAGATCATACATGTCTTTGCAGTTGAATTCCGAGCTGGCATCTAACCAAATCAATTATGGAGTCTCATTAAGGATAAAGTACCAAAGTGGTCACTGAAATATCTTAACTTTATCGATATGAATACTCGACTGTAAATTTCTGTAAAAGGCCACTCAACCTCTTGTCCATGGTAAATATCCATCCATTTCAGGTCTATTTATGCTCTCAAACTCTTTGGCTGTGGAAGAATCTAAAGGTTTCTAGTTCTACCAACTAGTGTAGACGTATCTGCTAGATAATTAACACACAGTTGATATATGAATTCAATTGAAATGAAAGATGGTATATAAACAACTTTTTATATTATAGGATAGCAGCTTCCAGAACGATTTCCAAGGCCTGAAAAAGGCTGTCAATGGGAATATACAGCACAGTATCAAGGGTGAAGAAAAGGATTTGTGTAGAGAAAACATCATAAGTTCAAGTACACAAACAAAATAGATACACCAACCCTCAAAGAAGTGAGAAAGGATAAAAAATGTGAAGTGGATAAACAGTGCAAGTAAGCAAAACTCAATACATCATGTAAACCATACCTAGGAACTGTATAAAAAAGATTTACAGCATTTTTGTTTTCTAGTGTGATAAACAAGTCTTCTTCAACCATCACAATGACTTGAGCAAAAGAACTTCAATTAATCTTATGCTTCCATTTGCTAAACTAGAATTACTGTCATTTGCTTAGCCACCCTGATCAATGTCAAAATGACCTTCTACATAACTTCAAGGAATGCTAATTAGTTACCTATATCCAAGATACATATTGCCCTTTGTAGCATGTGACAATTTGTCACTTTTGGTATTCTCTTCATGTTTTCAGAGCTACTTCAAGCATCTTATTTACCATATATGTCCTCTTAGTTGCAAGACTAATAACCTAAACCACTATGATCACTAAGAGGCAAAAATTTTCATTCGCTAATGCAATCCATAAATACGTGTGAGGATGAAAACCCAAATGGAGACAGTAAAAATGATAACTTTATACAATTTACTATCACTCCTTTACTCGTCTTTGATGAAATAGTTCTCGTATTTTCCTTGATAATGAATTTTGGTGTTCTCAGTTGCTGGCAGAAAGACAAGATTCTTATTCTTGTCTTTTAAACAAGCATGCTGAACATATAAGCATTTTCAGGAAGTTCATAACATATCCCTAAAACGAGATAAGAGATTATCTGCTTTGTTCAAAGATCTTTCCATTTGGTAAACTGGAAGTTACTGTCATTTGCTTAGCCACCCTGATCAATGTCAAAATGACCTTTCATATAACTTCAAGGAATGCTAATTAGTTACCTATATGCAAGATATATATTGCTGGTTGTCAAGACATCCATACCCTTGATCTCTACTCTTATCTACTCAGAGTATAAAGATAACGTTCTTGACCTCTAAACAATATTCTTAGCATTTGCTTTTTCCATGTTTAGATGTTAAATGGTTAATGTTCCAAGAATTAAGCATGCCTGAATTTCATTGGTTAATTAGCTATTTTAGGTCAATTCCAGCATAGTCTCTGTCAAAGAAAACTAATCTTATTATAGTTAAATTCACATAATCATGGAGCTTCCGATATTGAGTTATTCTATAGACAAAACTAATACTACCAATAAAAGACATGTTTCTGTAGTCACAGAGAGTTTGAACTCACTTCTTCTAAAGCATCAGCCAAGTCATCCCTTGTTGGAGCATTTTCATCATCAATGCCAAGCAGCCGTCTCCTCTCAGCATCCCTGGGGTCTTCAATCATTACAGTTAACTTTATCTGCAGGTACATAAAGAGTTAATTGCTAAAGAAGCTGCAATAGAAGCACAAATTCAGCCATTGCCGCAGCAGAACAGAACTAGAAGAACAATTATTCAGAGGATGGAGAAACAGTGATAAATGATTCAAATAACAAATGATGCCAAATGACACACTGGGTCAAATTCAGCAGTTGATTTCCGTGCTACTTTTTACAAATATGAAATTCAAGTGAAGCTAGAAAGCAAAAGAGGTGAGAAAATTAAGATCCACAAATGCCAAACAATTACAATAATAATAATACTAATAACATCTGTATTTTGTGACCCAAAAACAAAGGCAAATCATGAATGCTGTTTCCCCTCATTCCCATAACACGGCCAACTCTTGATACAAAGCCCAGGAACAGCAGTCCCAGGGAAAACATCAGAGCTCAAGGAACCAAGAAAAATGGGTGGAAACAACCTGAATTAACTTGTACAAGAAGCTAGTAGGCAAAAGAATCCAGGATGCTGAACTAGTACGAACTTCCTGCTATGCCAGTAGGTCAATGAACGGGACAGGTCCCACCAAGAAAGGGGTAATGCTGAGCAAGTAAGAACTCGGCCCCTGATCTACTATTCTAAAAGCACGTTCAGATGCGTTTTCAAGCTTTCCTTTTGCCTTTTAAATTTTCCAAGCATTAGTATTTTGATTTCCACCCAGATGTGATTTGAATTCAGTCCTCCCACTATACTAACTGTTTTGGTCTCTGTCATCTAATTCATGAACAAACACAAAATTCAGGTTCCAATCTTCAAATTGCAGAATACAAAAGTACCACCCAAGCCTGATTAACAAGTTCCATTAACTTCATATTTCACTAAAAGAACAAAATATCAACATGTTTTGTGCAAATGCTTGCAAAAGTATACATTGCAATTTCATACTATAAACCAGAAAGAACAGAAAATTTCCAAAACAAAAGATAAAGCGAACCTCATTAAAGGTCATATCCCTGTTTTTCCCGAGAAGCTCCAAAACCTACATAATTTCCAAGAAAACAAAATCAAAAGGCGTTACCACAAGCCTACTGTATCCATTCAATAGAACACAAAGATAGACTAAAAAACCACTAGGACACTTTAACAAAAACCCCAAAACAAAAGCAAACAATTACAGAAGTAATATGCGGGTTTTGTAAAGATCACTGACCCTTTTGATTTGAGAGACGTATTCAAGGTCTTCAGGGTCTGGCTCATCAGTTTCTTGTTTTGCAGTGGAAGTAGAAATGCCAGACGACGTCGCACTAACTTCAGTGTCTTCAGCATTACTAACACACACAACCCACCCTCCTCCATTGCTTCTTCTAGTTCTGATACTTCTTCTCCTCCACTTCCCATCATAATCACAGTCGCAGTGGTGGTCTGTCCTCAAGAAAGGTGAAAGCCTCCGGTCTTTACACAATGAAACACTAGAAAGTCTGTCAGGAAAGGAAGGACTTTTTGATGCAAAGAGTGATAACGATGATGATGACGAAACAACTGAGGTTTGGACAACTTGTGAAGCCATCACATTTCTGAGTGTAATTGCACCAGAATTCATATTCCTAGTATCATTCAGCTTGAAATTGCAAATGGGATTTCTTCAAGGCAGCTGCTACGCTAGTCGGAGCATACGTAGTATTACTGAAACTCTGGAAATTTTTTTGGTGGCTGCTAAAAGAGATTGAGCTGAGTCGGGACTCGGGAGAAAAGCAATGGTGGGTTGTGTTGTGGGCGCCGTGCTGCCAACTCACACCTCTGAGTAAAACTCAAAACGCAGCCGTTGGGTTTTGTTTTCTACTTTCTTCCTTTTTCCTTTTTTTTTTAAATATTTTTGCTAACAGTGTTGGATGGCATTTAAGAAGCAAGGAGAAGATGGTGGAATTACTACGCAACGGATCCTCTGTACCACACCCTATCTCACACCCTATCCCACATCTCCTAAACTTGCCAAGTGTCCTTTTATTAACCCAATCCTGAAATAACCCAACTCGAATCATGTTTAATTAATTAACCGATTAATCGGGTTGAGAAACTTAATCTCTATAACCAGATGCAATTAAAATAAAAACCCAAAAAACAAAATTAGAGATTAAACAAGGCACAAAAAAAACCCACAAAATTCGCGCAGGACAACAAAGTGCAATTCAACGCAGCAGGCTACGATTCTGGTTTCCCATCAGATTGGTATCCTTCTCAAAAGGTTCATCGCAACGCAGCAGGGCTGTCCGAGTTCATCATCTTCACCATTCAGCTTTGACGAAATATTCACGGATGAAGCTTTGAAGCTCTTCCCAAAGGTGAGAAACAACTTATTTCTTAAAAACCTTGGTGGGAAACCTTCGAAGCTCTTCGCAGGCCAATTTGATGTGATTTGCTAAGCTTAGGCACTTGATCTAGTTTTCAACTTCAAATTGGTCTGTTGATACACACCAATTGAATTAGTTTAGGAGAAAAGGCTTTAGTTCCCAGACCACGAAAGTGTTAATCTCTGCAGGGATGCGTTGCGATGAAGCTTTTGAGGAGGAGTGAAATCTGATGGGAAACTGATTTCGTGGCCTTGTAGGATTTTTTTTTGTGCCTTGTTTAATCTATAATTTTGTTTTTTAGGTTTTTATTTTAATTGATTTTGGTTATAGAGATTAAGTTTCTCAACCCGATTAATCGGTTAATTAATTAAACATGGTTCGAGTTCGGTTGTTTCAGGATTGGATTAATAAAAGGACACTTGGCAAGTTTAGAAGAGGTGGGATAGGGTGTGAGACAAGGTATGGTACAGAGGATCCGTTGCGGTCAAAGATTATTGTTGAAAGATTGAGGCACTTACTTAAGGAGCTGGTGGGGCCGAAACATGCCAGCTTCATTCTTGGGCGTCAAACGAGTGATAATATCATCATCGTCCAAGAGCTTTTGCATACAATAAGGAGGATGCACGGAAGGAAAGAGGCCATGATTATTAAGGTGGATTTGGAGAAGGCTTACGACAGGATTAGATGGGAATTTCGTCAACAAACGCTGGAAATGGCAGGGTTTCCACCGAACCTTATTAAGCTGGTAATGAATTGTGTTCAAGTAGATGCAACATCTATTCTATGGAATGGGGAAAATCAAAAGTGTTTACTTCATCTAGAGGATTGAGACAAGGGGATCATCTCTCACCTTACTTATTTGTATTGTGTATAGAAAGGTTGAGTCATATGATATCCCAACCTGTAAAGGAGAGGAAATGGAACGGAATTAGAACTTCAAGAAATGGGCCAAGGATCATGCATCTATTATTTGCGGACGATCTCCTTTTATGTGCAGAGGCCACTCCAGAGCTAAGCTAGGTCGTCTGCACTGTTATGACTGATTTCTATAGTATTTCTAGGTAAATGACAGGGTGTCGAACCTGTGCAATAATAAATACCTACTTAAATAAAATATAATTTCTGTAGATAGTGATAAGTATGGTCGAATCCACAGGGACTGGGGATAATTTATTTCTTTTAAAATCCGAAGTATGGGGGGTTTTTGAAAATGAGAGTAACTAAATTGCTTGGAATAAATTAAAATAAAATAAAACAACTACAACTCAAATAACTAATTATCACAATAAAAATAATAACAGACGAACTCTAGCCAAGAGACAACTTCGGAGATGGTTCACTTAATTCGATCACAGATGCAAGGATTATTCCAGTTACTATCTGATAAATTAGTTATAGTTGTCATACACGCGATAAACAACCAACTCTTCCTCAATTTGTCGATAGCCAAAGTACGACCGTTGACTATTTCTCTAATCAGGAAATAACCCTAGGTACGACCATAGAAGTTCAATTCCCTAATTGCATGAATAATTAGAAGAGCCTAATTCTAACCAATCAACACGCTACGAGGGTCTCTTTAAGTTAGCCTGTCTATCTCCCTGACACAAATTCAATCATGCCAGTTGCCACCAGTTTAGAATAATTAAACAATTACGGATTTAACTACCCTAATTGGCTTCAGGTTATTGAATTAATCTAGAATCCGCGCCCTGGATAATCGAATAATAAAACAACCAAATGAACATAAAGCAGAAGATAGACGAATACCAGTGAATAATGGAAATAAATAAAAACTAATTCGAACTCACAAATTTAGTAGAACCAAGTCCTCCGTTGTTTCTCGACTAGACGAGAAACTTAGCCACTCCTCATGAGAAAATCTCCAAGTAATTTAACTGAGATCCAGGCCATCAAAGGAACCAAGAAAGAATAAAACTAAACTATGCTAAAAGGGTCCCCGTAGCTTTTCTTATGATTGTCCTTATATAGCCAAAGGGAAATGACTAAAGCTATCTATCCAGTGGTCCCCACGAATAAGGAACAAAAACAACTCTTTGCACGTTGTTTCCTTTCAATTCAAATGACTAATGCCTTTCTTCTCTCCGTGGTCCCCGCACAAATTGAGGAAGGAGTGTACATAAAGTGAAGTTCTCTGAAGTCCTTCTTTCTTTAGTTTCCTCTTGATAGTCAAACATTTCAACACTCCAAGATACTCCTAATCCGAAAAAAAGAATGCAGTCCGCGTATATTACCATGTGGGCCAGGTCTGTGGCTTATTTAAAGTCTCAATTATTTTCAGAAAGTCCCTCCTTTTTTGTAGTTTTCTGCTTCACTCCCTGAAATTAGGTCCAATACCAAATATAAGTAAATATTAATAATTAAAACAATATTTGACAAGGATAAAAGAGAAAATTAACAATAAAATTGCTAACAATTAACACCCTATCAGTAAAAGATCAACATGTTGAAAACAAAATTCTGCTCACAAAATAGGGGACGAAGTGTAAGGAGGGAGATAAGCAAGATAGTTGGGGTGGAGGAAATTAAAAACTTGGTAAATACCTCCGTATTCCACTAGTGCATTTAAGAATTAGTAAGAGCACATATATTCCAATGTTAGATTTGATACGGACCAAACTTGCGGAATGGAAAAGGAGAAATTGATCATTTGCAGGAAGGACAACTCTAATAAAGTCAGTGCTCTCAGCAATTCCTACTTATCACATGCAGACTACAATGATTCCTTTTTCAATCTTGAAGGAAGTAGAGAAGTATCGAAGGAGCTTCCTTTAGGGAGATAGTGAGGATAGTAGAAAAATCCAACATGTCAACTGAAACACTGTAACACAAGCAAAAAAATGAGAGGGAATCGGAATTAGAAGACTCAAAAAAGTGAATAAGGCACTATTGGTCAAGTTTGCCTGAAAATTATCTAAAGACAATCAATCACTTTGGAGAAAAGTGATTGAGGGGAAATACTTTAAGGGGTCAACAGGAATTCATTCATCAGCCAAAATTGGAGACTCCTATTTGTGAAAAAGTATTGTCAAAGGCCGTGATCTACTAGAGAAGGGAGTCCAATGGAAGATAGGAAATAGAGAAATAGTGCAATTTTGGAAGGATAAATGGGTAGGAGAAACAATACTTTTGGAGGAAACAGAGAAAGAGATACCGGAGGAGGAGGTAGAGCAGAAAGTGGCGGAATATTGGAAATCAAGTGGCTGGGATATAGGAATGCTACAAGAACTGTTAACTCCTGAACAAGTTCTTAAGATAAGCAGCTATTATGTTTTTCCAGGGATGGAAAATCCAGACACCTTTTGTTGGAAACCCAAAGCTAATGGGCTCTTCACAACTAAATCAGCGTATGAGCTGGATTGGGGAGAGGAGGAACTGCACGAAAAAGCATCAGGATGGGAGAAACTTTGAAAAATGAAGAGATCGGGGAGATAGTAGTTCCTCCTATGGCTTGTAAGGCAGGGAAAACTCTTGACGCAGGAAGAGAAAACAAAGAGAAGGATAAGTCCCATTGCTCAATGTCCAATTTGTAAGATAGATATTGAGTCAACTTTGCATGCAATTAGGGATTGTAAATAGATATGCGATATTTGGGGAAAGTTCGTAAGACCAAACAGATAGGAGTAGTTCTTGAATAAGCCTTTGTAATAGTGGCTAGACTGGAATTTGAAGGATGGAAGGATTGGGGTAGGAGGGTTGACAGAGTGGCAAGTGACATTCCAACATATAGTCTATATCGCATGGGCTACCAGAAACACCTTTTGTGCTACAGGAGATGCAACTAAAATAAAGGTTGATCATAAAGCCATTTGTGCGGGGAGTGGAACAAGTGAAAGCTGCACAACAAGGGAGGTGAAACATGTTAAATGGGAAAGACCTCCAACGGATTGGTGAAAGATGAATGTGGACGGAGCAGCAAGTAAAAGGATGTGGAGAGCAGGGGCAGGAGGAGTTCTCAGGGATAACTGGGGTTGATGGGAGTCTGAATTTGTAATGAGGTGGGTTTTGCAGATAATATATCAGCAGAGTTATGGGGACTGCTTAAGGGATTGGAGCTGGCGTGGGTTTCGGGACGGGAAAAAATAATACTAGAGATGGATTCAAAAGCTGAAATTGAGCTTCTTAGAGCAGCGGGTAGGGAATCCCCTTATCACAACATGGTTTGCCAGATCGGAGTTATGTTAACAGGGACAAGAAATGTCATCTTTAGCATTCATGGAGAGAAGCCAATGGTTGTGCAAATTGGCTTGCAAAATGAAGCATTAATCAGGTGCCAGGATTGTTGCTCATAACGGACCCTCTTGGAGAATTTAGGGCATTGTTAGGAATGGATATTGTTGGGGTTGCGACCCCATGTCTAGTCTCGATTTAAGAGACTCGGCCTCTCCCCTTGTGAGCAAAAAAAAAAACTAAGAAAAAAGAAACTATTCAACCAAAAATGTCGACAGTGATACAATAAAAATAATAAAATATCTTACTATTTAGAAATAAAAATGAAATTGAAAAAAATTAAATAATAATCATTAAATTGCAAAATTTACTCCCAATACAAAATAGACAAGGAAAAAAGAAAGAGGCTTTGGTTTTTAACATAACACTCTAAGAGCCAAAAGGCGTTACTGTTCATTTTTTTTTGTCGTCATCACGTGCCATAAGCATGCCTTCAGTATTTTTTTTTTTCGCGCGACCCGCGGGTTGTCAGCTTAGGGTTAAACACACAAAATACTTCTTTCCTGACTTTCCAAAGCCTCGTCGCCGCCGCTTCTTCTTTCCTGCCTTTCCTTTCCAAGATTATAATGCCAAAATCTTCAATACGTTTAAGCCTCCTCGCTCTTTGCTTATTTTCTTGTAAGTTTGTAATTTTCTTACTCTTAGTTTCAATGCCAAAGGGGGAGAGAATAAAAAATTGAATGAAAAGAAGGAGATGGAGATTTTAGAAGCTGGTGCTCGATCCTCCAAAGCACGCCAACATCATTTCTAGCTCAAGGTTTGGGACTTTTCTTTGTTTTTCCCAAATTTATTCTCCTTCGTTATATATATTTTTTCTCAGAAAGCTCCTTCATTCTCCGTTCAAATCAGATTATTTTTTTATATTATTGTTCCTTATTTTTCTTACCCTTTTCAAATCAGGTGGCTTTTTTGACGTGGTTGCTCTTCATCTTTAAAAAAAAAAAAAATCTACAAGAAACTGTTTATCCTCCGTCAGTTCAGGTAACTTTTCTATAAGACCTCCCTTTGCCCTCTCTGTTTATTTTCTTATGTGCTTATATTTTCTTTTCCTTTTTAAAATGCATAGAAACCCTTTGAATTGGGATGTGCGAAGGTACTGATGCGTTTCTAAAGGGCTTTTGAATGATTTATTTCTATGCAGCAAACTGAACAATATGAGGCAAACAGAAATTTCTAATATAAAGTGTTTAATTTCTATGTTTTATTTTCTTTCTTCCTGTACTTCATCTTTTTTTTTTTAAATTTTCTTTTTGGTCAATGACATTTTTGGGTTTGATGGAAGCCTTTGAACATGATGGCGAGGCTTCTCCGAAATGCTTCTTCTCTCGAATGCCTCTGTTTTTGCAACCTCTCTCTCCGGTAATTCCCCACCAAATCAGATTTTGTTCTTATTTTCTTTGTATTTTTGGAGAACAATTTGGTTAGGATTAATGATAGGTAATGGCCTGTTGTAGAAATTTGAAGCATTTTTTTAAAAAAATTTCATCTTTTTCTCAAATATGTTTTTCATAGCTTTGTTGAGTTTCAATGTTTTTACGCTACGTTGTCTTGTTTGTACTATTCTTTTGAAGTTATAGGTGCAATATATAGTGTTTATACTTGTTATTAGCAGTTGGAAGCTGCAAATAAATGATTATAATATTATTTCCTATCAATTATGAAAGCCAAATGCTTTACTTTGCTAGCTTGCAGAAGTTGTTCCTTGTTTTTAAAATTATTGAACTTGCATACTGTATAAAGAAAAAATCTTTTAATTGTTTGATACGTTTTCTAACATCATTTTTCAGTTAGTACTGCTTTTCTTTTTTTTATTTTGTTTCTCATTTTCTTCACGTGTCATGACATGAATTTGTTGTTTGTTGATGCAGACTTTATAGGAAAGTCTTGTTAGGGGCATACACTCAACTCTCCTACTTTTCCTCCAAAAGGTACCCGAAGTTTATTTTCCTGTTGAACTGACTTGCATTTGGTTTTCATACCTTCTTAACTTGGTGATCACTTTGATTGGTTTCAAAAATAGATAAAGTAAAATAACTTTTGCATATAAAGTCGATCTTTTTAGGCTTTAGCCCAATTAAAACTAATACATATATTTGCTTAGTGTTTGAATACTTCAAACATCTTGTTTATTTAATGTGACAGTTGCATGTTTTTCCCCTATATTTTGGGGTTTTCTGTTGACTAAAAAATTATAAAGCACCAAAGTATGCAAGTGTATTACCATATTTTAGCCTTGTACCTCCCTCCTAGAGTATTCTAACATTAAATGCATCATTCTTAATGTAAAAATCACTTGACCCTTTTCCCCCATGTGATTCTTTGAATTAGATGAGTTCTTTTAAGTATAGCTCTTTTGCTGAAATTTGTAGAGTTTGATATTTTTTACATTTGGCTGGGATTGTGTTATTCCTGCTTGAGAGTACCTACATTTTGCTCTTTCTGCAATAGAAAAATATCAATTGTTTTTTTTTTTTTGCTTCATTGGTTCATTATGAATATAAGCCATTTTTTGTATGGAAGGTAGAAGAAAATCCAAGTCAGACATCAAAGAAAGATTTGGTGCTCAAGTCCTATCAGATCACTACATCATTTGGAAAAGGTTCTATCATATGGCTTGGCCGCTCTGCCCCTGTCAAACAAGTTCCAGTTGTATCCACAGCTTCATTTGCTTTGGATATTGCATTTGGGATTGGAGGACTTCCAAAGGTTGGACATCTTATGTGTTTCTTATGCTGCAATGCCAGATGTTGATTTTGAATTATTGTTTCAAGTGCACTAAACATCTGCAAATTTCTAAAGAATCATATTGACATTGTTTTAGAGTGCAAATATACTACTAAAAGGACTTCTCTCTATCTAATTGGGACTTCAACTAATAGTTGCTGTAATTATTCTTGGTTTGAATATTTCCATTCTGATTTATCAGTATTTGCAGTTTCCAAACTGTATAGCAAAAGAAAAGCTTTGTCTTGTTCTTGAAAACCTTCACTGAAATGGAAGCTTTTAAATTACTTTGTATCACTATTGGTTTCTGTTAACCTTATCATTTTGTATTACTATTGGATCTGTTTGATGTAATTGGAGTAGTGCATTTTGGCATCAGGCAATATTAGTAGTTCCATGTCCATGGGAGATGTTACCATCCCCAAGCAATTCACTCAGGCTGGCTTATGGGATTGGCTCATAACTTCCATTTCTTGCTTTTAACATGAATACATGAAGCTTCGTTATACCTCTATTTTCGCCTGATTTACATGAATCTTTTTCTTAGCAGAAACTTAATGCAACAATCCTGACAGGTGATTTTACTAAATTGGATTTTGAATCCTACAATGGGCCTTCCAGAGGATATAATCAATTGGGGAGCATTGGATACGGCACTGAGTAGTTCTTTTTGAAGTTAAGAAAGCAGCAGTTTCACGTAAGCAAGAATTGGCTTAGATAGCATACACTCATCTTGAGGTATAGGACTCGATACAGTTCCTTCTCTTCTGTGCTTTTCCTTTTCTTTCTCAATTGAAGATTAGAAATATAGGACTTCTTTATGATCAGTTGTATTTGTTCTGTGTTTCTGGAGTCTGAAAAACCTTAGCAATTATTAAGTGTCAAATATTAAGTTTCAATTATTATAGCATAGAAAATTTCCCTATAAAGGCTTCTATACAAACCTTGGTTTTGCCTTTATAGGTATAGAAATATCCCTTCATGATTTATAATTTCTTAATACTTCTTATCACATGCTAAATGAAGAATTGAGCTATCAAACCTTAAATTTTTCAGTCACAAAAGATTTTAAATTTTAGATCTAGAAAACACATTATTCTTAGATGAGAATATCTAGAGCTTCTCCAAGGATAAAAGCAACTATGCAATCTAACTTACATGTCAATGCCTCTAACTTTTGGAATGGAGTATTGTTTTAACATAACAAAAAGATGTTCTGTAACAGCCCCACTTTCCCCTAAGGCGAACCAAAGGGGTGAGCGGACTGCCTGCCCAACTCTCACTAGGACTAACGATGCAGACCAGAACTATCTATAGCGATCCGGAACTTACAAACGAGCGTAAACAAGTCAAAATGGTAAAATAACCCAAAATAAAAAAAATGAAATCCGGAGTCGGCCATGAATAGTAACCGACCCGTCAGAACCCAACCGAAATAGCTAACAAACATTCACATCTGAACTTTAGCGTTTACAAATCAAAATGACATACAAAAGTTTTCAAAAGTTAATATATACACATGGTTTGCCAAATCAAAAGAGAAAACGCCCAAAAGTACACTTAGGGTTTTAATACATGAGCTATACAAAAGATATGTTCGACTAACTCAATTTGTCAGCCATTTGTCAAATCCAGACCAAAAGGGGTTTATTTTCCTGTAAGGAAAACAAAAAGTAACAGAAAGGGTGAGCTTGCGCTCAATGAGGTACCAAACATATAGCAGAAAAATCATGGCATTTCACATTTTACAAAATCAGATACACATGCTAGATGTAAAGCAAAGGAACCAAGGATTCAAATCAGAAGGATACGGGTGGCTCTCAGGAGCCAAATTTCCAGCGCCGTACTTGATCCAAATCGGTTGACTCTCCGTCAACGTATATAGAACCAATGCGTCCGTAGACCCCTCTTTACACCGAATTCCGTCCACCAAACACCCCTTTACCGGGCCCGCTCACCGTAACCGAACAGAAATGGTAATACTCGAATATACCTGGAATCAAGGGTCTCAATACCCAAAATTCCCAAACAGACTACCGTGGTTCGTTATATAATCGTCCAGGCCCTTGCCGGCCCGACTCGAATAACTTAGCCACAGGATTGAGCTCATAGGTCATAAAAATCCGAACAGATGCAGACACAGATAACAGATTCAGATAGGCACTCAAAATTGGCATATGGACAGACAAGAGAACGAGTGTGATAAAGTACACCATCGTCTCCAACAATTAAACAGATTGCAGAGCAAAAATCAAGTTAAACAGCAATGGAGGGGAGTGGTATACTCACCGGCTCAACTTCAAAAGTTTTCACTTCAGATTGGCCTTAATCGCCAAGAAACCCTAAAATAATCAAAATAAACCAATGCCAACCACAACCCCAATAAGGTTTCATATGCATATATAAGCATGATAGCAAACCAGAAATTAAGAAAAGGGCTTTAACTTAGACCTTGATAAGAAAACCGGTTTTGACGTCATAATGCGGTAATGGCACAACTCTCACTACAATTATCGGATGGGGGTGTAAGACCTACCGTTTCGAAGCTATGGAACAGGGCTACAACAATGTAGAAGGTCATTCAATCCAGTTCCTAGCCCAACTAGGTCAAAAATGCCAAACACTAAACCAGAATCACCAAAACAGGTTTGCAAAACACAGAAAACTGTAATCGGTATATCTCAGTCCATACAAGTCCAAATGCCGAAATTCCAAAGGCATAAGTTAGCTAAGACATCCAGCTACATTTCATCAGAAGACACCAACTTCAAAATCCAAACCAATTCCAGTCAAAAGGGCCAATTACTATCGCAGTTTTCGCATTCGGATCAAAACGGAACAGCTACAGTAAAAATGGCATAACTCATTCTACACTCATCCAAATGACCTGAAATTTTACAGGCACCTCAAACACATCAATACCTACAACTTTCATGTTTTGAGAAAAGTCTAATTCGGCCTCTAACCCAGTGATCTAAAACCGGACAGAATTGGGATTTTATGAACCCTAACTTTCCATTTTTCACACCAAATCCAAAATTGATTGCATTTAACCACAATTCACACTCACTAGAGTCATAACCCCTCATTATCAACCATCATAAACAACCACAACACCATGATCACATTAAACCATAAAATTCCTCAAAAAAATAAAAACTTCACTAAATCAACTCAAACCAAGAAATAAATCACATAATCCACCACTTTGGCTCCCATTAGGCACAATTTAAACATCATTAAGTATAGGAGGAAGTGTAAGCTTCACTTACCTAGTAAACAAGAGAGAGGGAGATGTTGGACACCTTAGCTCTTCCAAAAACTTCACCAAACCAACCACTAACACCAACTAGAAAGATTTTATGGAGTGGAAACAACTTTAGTTGGTTGAGTTATGGAATTGGAGCAAGAGGAAATCAAAATTTGAAGAAGTTTTTTCTTCCTTTCTTGAGCTTGAGAGGGCCGGCCATAAGGAGGTAAGAAAGAGTGAATTTTGAGCAATTTTTTTGAGATATTTACTCAATTAGTCAAAAGGTCAAAATAGTGAATAGTAAATCATAAAGTCCAACCAATGTCATGGTGACACTTGTCACCCCCATAAATGCATCATTATCTTTCTTTTTCCTCTCACATCAATCACTTCACATCCTCTACTTATCTCTTAACACCCGATAAATTTCACACAGTATCCGGAATTTAACCTAATTGACCGAATTTTTCTGAATTTTTCGCACTAGTGGGTCCCACGTCCAATATATATTCTTAATTTTTCAAAAACTCTCCAAGGCTAGAAAAATCATCTAAAAACTATAACTGCTCATAAAATCCACCAAGAAAATATTTCTAAGCCAGAAAATGCAGAAAACATGCAATTAAGGGGGAAAACCCTAGGAAAAAAATATTAGGGAAATACGGGTTCTCACATGTTCTCCCTATAATGAATAAGTTTCCACTTTGTTTTTCCATTTCAGGATCATTCCATTGACTTTGTGTTCTGCCCCTTCATTGCTCCTCCTCCAAAAAATATAATAATATAGTTGCTATTTCAATTTTTCACTTTTATGACAACGGAATGAGTTTCATGTTTGGATACTTTGGAGTTAGAACTTGTCGGATTTATCTTTCGGATTAGAATCATTTGTTGCCAGTTAACCTATTTCCAATTTCTTCCTTTGGGTGACATACATGGATGGCCATATTGCAATAGATTGCATTCTGAATTCTTTTAAGTTCAATTTTTTGGAAATAGCAGAATAGCTAATTTATTTGCTTTGGTGGGATTATGAGTTACTAGGCAAGTTGCTCTAACCTGACAACTTATAGGATGCTTTATTTCTCATTTCTTTGATACTTAATAATGGACAGAATATATACATGCTTCTCTTAAGAGGGGAAAAGCTGGTTTAAGACTTTGTATGAATATTACAAGTTTTAAAGTTGTCGAGTTTATCTTGTTTGTTTTGGGATCAATCAATGTCTCCTGACCCATTTTCAGTTTCCATGCATTGGTGACGAGATCCATTGCTAACTTCAATGGAATATATACTAAGATTTTATCGTTATAATTTTATGATTAGGTTGTCGCGGGAGAACTTAGTAAATCTTGCCATGGGGACAGCAGAAACAAAATTGCTTTTGGATAGGGGAAAGATGCATTGTGTGTTTCAAGCTCTATGCCACATGCTTTCTTATTAGTTTATGTGATTAGTTTAGGACAATTCTTTATTGAATTTATTAGAATCTCTATGTTATAGGTTTTTTTTGGTTAATCTGTAACTAAATTCCATCAGACACAAACAATTCCATTAAATGGATCCA